CAAAACCACAAATGTCAACCTCATGGTGTTGCTATAGGAACAGTTAAGAAATTACCAAAGTCATACGAAGTTGTCCTCTCAAAAAGATAAATAAATGGAAGACCTAACCACCTCTGTGTGCTCTTATTGATGCTGAATTATTTTGTTGTAAACCTTACTAAACATGGCTTTTTTTTATTGTTATGAATATTTCAGTCTGTGCTGCATTATGTGTGCATGTAGGAGCATCTTCAAATCCCTGTTCGACTGTCACTTACAGAGATCTTGTCACTGTATCAGCATCATCTCACCTCCTAGGCAGCAAATTTACTCAGGCAGCAAATTGGCTTCAACAAATCAAACAAACACGTGTCAGTTCACAGATAGAAATACTGTATGAAAACACACACAGACTCACCAGGGGGACAGTGCTGAAGCTGTCTGAGTGTGTACTTCCCACTCTGCTTGGACCGGTCCAACTTGAGCCTGCAGGAACAAACAGGGGGAAAAAACACAGTATGTAAGGTCACAGTGGGTTAACAATCCACCACACCAGGAAGAGAACCACCTCCTCATACAAGAGAGCCACACAGGGCCAAACTACCTCTTCTACTGCCTGAGAGAGGAAACAGGGGAGGCAGAGATCAAGCCAAATATCTAATTAGGAGGGTAATAGGGGGATATGGTCTCTGATCTGTGGTCAAGTTTTAGTTCCAGCTCTTATGAATCAAACTACTGTCAAATATCTTCTCCAGAGTGTTTCCCCCTTGTTTTCAGATGTGTTTCAGGTCCAACATGGTTCCTGTGGACCAAAGCAGGGGCGGACCTTGGAGTCTTACAATTAATGCAAAGTAACATGATTCACCGGTAGAGAAGTTATCCTCTGTAATTTCAGGCTACATGTCTGAATTTTACTTATTGGTGTAATTCACTAGATCCCAACCTTCCCAACTAGAGGTCGCCAGAGTTTTACTTCATTCATTCTATATTTCACTCATTTCTGTGAATAATAAAATAATTGTTATTTTTAAAGTTACGATTGTTCAAGATATAAACTAAAAAAAATCTCACAGGATAAGGGGACAGTAAAGACCTGAACACAAGCCTTGTCCTGTATTCAACGTTCCTGCACCTTTTCATGGAGAAAATTTCAAAACTCTTCATTGACTTTTCAAGTACTCGATATTAAATTCCCATGACTATCCACAATGTATAAAAAGAACAATGTTCCATCTCAAAAATGCAGAGCAATTTCAAAGTAGTATTGGGGCACAGACTAGAATAAAGTTCAATCACACTGTCATAACATATCGGATTCAAAGTACTGAAACATAATTCCAGTTAGCTAGCACACATGAAGGGAGAGACAGAACACAGGGAGAAAATGAAGAAACATACAGTACAGGCCAAAAGTTTGGACACACCTTCTCATTCAATGCGTTTTCTTTATTTTCATGACTATTTACATTGTAGATTCTCACTGAAGGCATCAAAACTATGAATGAACACATGTGGAGTTATGTACTTAACAAAAAAAGGTGAAATAACTGAAAACATGTTTTATATTCTAGTTTCTTCAAAATAGCCACCCTTTGCTCTGATTACTGCTTTGCACACTCTTGGCATTCTCTCCATGAGCTTCAAGAGGTAGTCACCTGAAATGGTTTCCACTTCACAGGTGTGCCTTATCAGGGTTAATTAGTGGAATTTCTTGCTTTATCAGTGGGGTTGGGACCATCAGTTGTGTTGTGCAGAAGTCAGGTTAATACACAGCCGACAGCCCTATTGGACAACTGTTAAAATTCATATTATGGCAAGAACCAATCAGCTAACTAAAGAAAAACGAGTGGCCATCATTACTTTAAGAAATGAAGGTCAGTCAGTCCGGAAAATTGCAAAAACTTTAAATGTGTCCCCAAGTGGAGTCGCAAAAACCATCAAGCGCTACAACGAAACTGGCACACATGAGGACCGACCCAGGAAAGGAAGACCAAGAGTCACCTCTGCTTCTGAGGATAAGTTCATCCGAGTCACCAGCCTCAGAAATCGCAAGTTAACAGCAGCTCAGATCAGAGACCAGATGAATGCCACACAGAGTTCTAGCAGCAGACCCATCTCTAGAACAAGTGTTAAGAGGAGACTGCGCCAATCAGGCCTTCATGGTCAAATAGCTGCTAGGAAACCACTGCTAAGGAGAGGCAACAAGCAGAAGAGATTTGTTTGGGCCAAGAAACACAAGGAATGGACATTAGACCAGTGGAAATCTGTGCTTTGGTCTGATGAGTCCAAATTTGAGATCTTTGGTTCCAACCGCCGTGTCTTTGTGAGACGCAGAAAAGGTGAACGGATGGATTCCACATGCCTGGTTCCCACTGTGAAGCATGGAGGAGGAGGTGTGATGGTGTGGGGGTGTTTTGCTGGTGACACTGTTGGGGATTTATTCAAAATTGAAGGCACACTGAACCAGCATGGCTACCACAGCATCCTGCAGCGACATGCCATCCCATCCGGTTTGCGTTTAGTTGGACGATCATTTATTTTTCAACAGGACAATGACCCAAACACACCTCCAGGCTGTGTAAGGGCTATTTGACCAAGAAGGAGAGTGATGGAGTGCTGCGGCAGATGACCTGGCCTCCACAGTCACCGGACCTGAACCCAATCAAGATGGTTTGGGGTGAGCTGGACCGCAGAGTGAAGGCAAAGGGGCCAACAAGTGCTAAACACCTCTGGGAACTCCTTCAAGACTGTTGGAAAACCATTTCAGGTGACTACCTCTTGAAGCTCATGGAGAGAATGCCAAGAGTGTGCAAAGCAGTAATCAGAGCAAAGGGTGGCTATTTTGAAGAAACTAGAATATAAAACATGTTTTCAGTTATTTCACCTTTTTTTGTTAAGTACATAACTCCACATGTGTTCATTCATAGTTTTGATGCCTTCAGTGAGAATCTACAATGTAAATAGTCATGAAAATAAAGAAAACGCATTGAATGAGAAGGTGTGTCCAAACTTTTGGCCTGTACTGTACATGATGGTAAACAAAACATTGTCAAACATTGGCGCATATTTGAGCTACAAGACGGCAGTAGCTCAGTCCACAGGGACTTGGGTTGGGTTGCCGGCTCAAGTCCCCCATCTGGACCAAATATGGAGTGTGAACAGGGAGCTGGAGAGGTGCCAGTTGGCCTCCTGGGCACCCTGAGCAGGGTACAAAAGAAACAACTGGTCGCGGCGCCGATCCATGGTTAGCCCCCTCGCTCTTACATCTCTTCATTTAATGCATGTCGTCTTCTTCTTCTTTGTGTTTGTCTTATTTGTGTTCGTCTTCATCTTCTTTGTCTTCTTCGTCCTCTTTTTCGTGTTCGTCTTCTTCGTCTTTGTCTTCTTCTCATTCTTCTTCTTCGTGTTTGCCTTCTTCGTCTTTGTCTTCTTTGTGTTCATCTTCTTCGTGTTCATCTTCTTCATGTTCATCTTCTTCGTGTTCATCTTCTTCGTGTTCTTCCTCTTCGTGTTCGTCTTTTTCGCCTTTGTCATTGTGTTCGTCTTCTTCATGTTTGTCTTCTTCTTTGTCTCATTCGTCTGTCTTATTCTTCTTCATCGTCGTCTTCTTCAGTAACAGAAAATACATTTGTTGAAGGTTGTCCACAGAAGATTACTCAACACTTAGTGTCATTACAAAAATTCCATGACTTTTCCAAAACTTTCAAGAATATTATGAATTCCATGACTTTCCCAGGCTTTCCATGACTGTGGGAACCCTGTGTATTAAAAAAGTATGCAACTAAAACCAAAGAGCTAGAACAATGGCCGAGCCTCAGGGAGAAGGAAACACTGACTTTGTCATAAAAGAAGCCTTTTAAGTAAACAAGCCTATCAGTGAACATAATACACACAAAGAATTATATTAGAAGTTCCTACAAGTATCGAGACAACTCACCTCTGGTGCAATATTTACAGGAAATAATCAAAATTCATTCAAATAGCTTGTTGTACACAAACATCCTGCAGTTATTGTGTTCACTGTTTGGGTTAATTGTACAGTTCATCTGTTGCTTTGTGCGGATATTTTTATGCTTTAAATAAAATATGAATTATATATGAAATGTGTCACTTAATCAGGGGCCGTTAGTTACTTGATGGATACGGGGTCCTATAATGAAAAAGGTTGAGAACCACTGGTGTAATTGATGCTGCTATAAGGCACAATATGTTCTGCTAGTAGGAGCTCCTTTTCTGTCAGCATTAATTAAAACCTGTGACATTCAGAATCACATCGCATAGTTAAAGGCATTTCTAAAGTCACTCTAATTGCTATGATATGCTATGAGGTTACACTGGTAACAGTACAGGACTCTGAGAAGTTATTAAATCATCTTCCTCTGTTATATATTCCCTCTGCACATTACACACAGTGCTCTTTACAGAGACACTCACCAGCCGCATGGTAATATATCACCACAGAAGACCTTGGCCTTTGAGTTTGTGGCATGTTGCTGAGGATAAATGTGTTCCTCTCCAGCATTAATTATCCCTCTTACATTGTTTAATTGCCACTTTGATTACACTGTGAAGAGCCTGTTAGAAGGATCTGAAATCATTTGAACTGTATTAAAAATATCCATCTCTTAGGAACTGAAATTGTTTCAGTTTGAGACTCACCAGCTTGTGTGTACACAGGAACTGGAACTGGTACAGATGTGTTGAAGGACAGAGGGGAGGTGATGGAGAACACCAGGATGTGTCCAGGCGAGCATCATGGAGCAGCAGTGAAGATGTTTAGCTCAGGTTACAGATGGCTTTAAATTTCAGCAGTACAGTGAAACTCTCTTCTACTCAGACATTTCTGAAAATAAATGCAGACACTCAGAACTTTACCTGCTCCTTTTCTAAGCTGCCACTTAAACACAGTTTGAGAAATGAGAAGTGATACAGATTTGTCTACAAAAGTGGGAAAATCACTAAAGCATGTTATTCAAACACTGGTACATTGGATTATTTAGAGCAAAAACAATTTGTCAGAAGAAAAATAATAAGCATGTTTTTGGACAGTCAATAAATGGTTTCACTTAGTTCTTCTGCAAAAATGCCAAACATCCCAGCTTTCTCAGTTGTGAAGATTTGATGCATTTCTTAATCTAATGTGATAAAAACTGAACATCATTTGCTTCTGGACTGGTGTTTGGACAAATGCAAACATTTGAAGACATCATCTTGGACTCTGGAAAACTGTGAGGAACATTTCTTACTATTTTATGACATTTTACAGACAAAATAATAACTCATTTAATGGAGAAAACAATCAGCAGAATAATCTATAAGGAAATTAACTGCAGCTCTAACATGATGTCTTCAACAGTCAAGACAGATTGCTGCAGTACACAACCAGTCTGGTCACTGGTCTGGCAGATATTTTCTCAACATGGAAGTATACAGTACCATCTGGTGGACATTTTCATACTGCAGTGCAACATCCAAACATGTATAACCACCTCATTTAATGCCCTCACGCTAATACACAAATGTTTCATGAGGCGGATGCTTTAAATGTAAGATTTAACACTTTTAAACTAAAATTAAAGGTCCAATGTGTAGGATTTACTGGCATCTGAGGTTGCAGCTGTGGTGGCTGATGCAAAAACACTCATGGCCCTGTCTTGAGCCTGTGTTTGGTTTGTCCATTCTGGGATGCGGTAGAAACAACATGATGTACTCTGTGGAGGAGGACTCGCTCCATATGCAGATATAAACAGCTCAGTATAAGGTCACATAAACACAACACATCTTAGTTTGAGGTGATTATGAACAAATTAAAACATAGTTATGACTAGTATATTCAATTCCTGCCAATATATCCCCCTACACATCCTACAATCCTACACACTGAACCTTTCAGTGTTTTTCACAATGAAAAAAAAGGTCAGAACAATGTCATATTAAATTCCCGATATTTATTAAATTAGAAAACTGTTCTGTTGTTTCTGTAATTTTCTCAAAAAAAAAAAAAAAAAAAAAAAAACATCCGTATTTACACTCTTCAAATGAACCAAATACACAGTTTAGGTGATATTTTAGAGATCAGCTAATGTTCCTGTAGAAGGACAGCATGTCGTCCAGACTCTGTTCAGGCTGCTGGGCCTGGCTGGGGTCTACAGACTGGGGGGTCTGCTGAGGCTGAGACTGGCTCTGCAGCTGAGGTGGATGCTGAGGTGGATACTGGGTAGGATACTGGGGTGGGTACTGGGGAGGATACTGAGGTGGGTACTGTGGGGGAAATGGAGGACGTAAGTGAGGTGGTCCAGCAAACTGAGGAGGAGGAAATGGAGGATAAAATGGAGGAGGGGCATACTGGGGGTTAAAAGGAGGAGCAGACACGGGCGCTGAATCTGCTGGGTGATCTAAAGGTGATGACTGCGATGAGGCCTGTGGTTGTGAAGGAGGTGGAGGAGGTGGAGGATTTTGTTGAGGTTGGGGAGGTGGAGGAGCAGTCTTAGGTTGAGATTGTGGCTCCTCTTTGCTCTCAGAGATTCCTACTGGGCCTTTAGTCCACTTGAAGGACATCTCAGATTTACTCTGAAAGTTAGTCTTCCCTGGCCTTTGACTATTCTCCTTAGTAAAGTAGGCAGAGGGAGGTGCAAATTCTGAATCTCGCTCATCACGAAGCCGAGTTTTCCACTCACTAAACATAAACTCTGCAAAAAACAGTAAGGTGGTGGTGTTAAGGAAGTCAAATGTTTGACAGCTTACAGAAAGAGTAACATCAGTCTGAAAAATTCTTAATCACACGTACAATTATCTATAGCATACACAACTCATAATTCATTTTGAATTTGTCTCATCTGCAACACATTCTATTACAGATATCTAAACAGCTTGCAACAAGAGGCACACAAAAAGGGCACAGTGTTTATGATCTATTCCTCTAACTATACAACCCATAACTTTACATTCCACCTGAAAATCTATTAGATGTTAACTTAAAGAGAGTGAAGAATTACTGCAAAATGATGCATGGCACCTAAACAGCACTACAGCCTGTAGCAGAGAGGGATCTGATTTTGTATGTGACATCAAGCAGGTTTCTAGTTAAGTTGTCTCGCAAAGCCAGACCTATTGCATGCTGTACCAGCTTGAGATAGCCAGCACGAGAGAAAGGTCTGGCTGAACCCATTAACTCTGCACTTAGGGAAGAAAAAGCCCGAGGTTCACTTTATTTCTTTAAATCAATCACAACTGTCTGGGGCAGCACTCAGCCGAGGATGCAGTGATGGTGCTCCTGTAAAATAGTGTCAGGAGGGAACTTGTTATGGTGGAACATGTGCGCGTGGGTAGGTGAGTCCTGGCATTTAAATGGCTAAAAGGCCTTTACACAAACCATTTTTTGCATGTGATTACCAAGGTCAATTCTTCTTAGCTCTCACATCATGAATACAGTTATCAACCAATCACGTATGAAACGTACGTCACATCACAGCGTCTCTGGTGGTCCTCTTGTGGAGGACCTGTTGAAACTATTGCAAATTTGCTTTGATGTGAGTATGAATGGTTTTGGTGTAAAATACGACTTCACATTTTCATGTTGTTTGTTCATCACACCTCTGGTGTGAAAAGGTGCCTGCAAAAGATATATGCCACATAAAAAAAATAAAAATTAAATTAAAGAAGGTTGTAGCCATAGGGTGTATAATATAATGGATGGCGCTACAACTTCACCCACTGGATTGTGGATTCCATCTGAAATAGGCAGCCAATGACAGGCTTATACCCACAGTTTACATCCTGTGAGTCAGACTACTATCAAAGTAATACAATTCATACTACACTTAAAATCCCTTTCATAAGGAAATCTTGTCAGCTTTCCAAAGACACTAGTAAAAGAACACTTGAAAGTACTTTGTGCTTTACTTCATTTGTGCAATAGATCTTTTTTACAGCAGACATTTTGATGTGTTATTGTAGGAAAGGCACAGATGTTACTCATAACGTTATGATAAATCTCTTCAGTTCATTTGTCCCAGTAGGCCCTGACAGACTGACAGTGAGCCAGCATGCAAAATGACAGCACGCTGAAAATTAATTATTGTTTAATTTTCTGTTGTCTATTTTACTCAAATAGACTTCTGCTTTCCCATCCTGGAAAACAGCAGATAAGTACATGTCCTACTTGTACTGGATACTCACTCATTTTCTTCCAACATGCTTTCATCGTAGTCAGGCTGTAAGAAGATAACTTTTAAATGTTTATGTGGACCTTTCAGTAATAAGGCTTACCTTTGCCTCTGTCCCATTCTCTGACATGAGGAACTCCTGGTCTGGTGTCCTTCCTTTCCTGGATCTCCACTACCACCTTCTTCAGTGTGCTGACCTCCGGGGAGTCCTCTGGTGGAGGTGGGGGTCCTATTAATTCACTTTCGTCCTCCTCCCCTGGACAAACAATTCACAACAGTCCCTTATTAACATTCATGTGATTATTGAATCAATAAATTGGTGTTGTTGAGAGGTGGTTGTGGATTCTAACCTTCGTTCTCCTCCTCTTTCTGCTCCTCCTCAGTGCCATCAAGCTTGGCCTTCTTCATCTTCCTCTGCCTCACCTTGGCCAGTCGGGCCTGCAGGATGGCCTGCCTCTTTTCCTTCAGCTGTTCTCTTTTAGTGCGCTGATCTGTGGTCTGAAGGACAGGACAGATGTAAAATAAAAAACAAAAACTGAGCAAAAACTGAAAGTGCATTAATGATTGGGTAAGACTCAACTTAAATCTTATTCATTTAATATATCAAATGCACAAGGACTTGTAGAAAGAAAAACCCCGGATGTGGTAGTGGATGTGTTTAATGTACATACATAGGTATGACTGTAGTGTGGGGTGACTGTTAATCAAGGAAACTTTAAACGTCACTCAAGATAACATTTCTGTACATCCTTCCTGTGATTGACAGCTCACCTGGTCTCTGAGCATGTCCAGTGTTTCTCTCTGCTTTCTGCGCTGCTCTTCATCTTGAGCGAACGCAAAGTAACCCACACCGAGATCCCGAGCCTCTGTGATGAACACACACACAAAATGCAGATTACAGCACAATGTTAACAAACCAATACCCTTCATTTCACATGTGTGCAGAAACGTTGTAGAGATGTTTTAACAGTAACCTTGTCCCCTGATATCCTCATAGTGGATGGGTCCAACAGGCCTCTTCATAGCCTCCTCTTCCTCCCTTTCCCACTCCTGCCTCTGCAGCTCTCGACGCATGTCCTCGGAGAGTAAGTCGGCTGAGGGTTTCCTACATGGAATAGTCATACCCAAAAAAGTTGCAGTTCCCACCATGAACATACAGAAACCATCACTTGCACCTTGATATAGTTTTTATTTGTAGAATATTCACCCTTTTCCTTTAAGGTCTAGGTCCATTTTCTGAAAACCTGGCAGGTCTTTCTTCATGCATCTGCGAGATCGGCCTAAAGAGTCCACATAATCCACCCTACAGACAAACAACACAGCAGAACAACATTTCACAAATGGGTTTTGTTTGTTTAATACTTCAATTTGAACTGTTGGTATTATACACAGTGTTTTTGAAGATGGTAGTGGTGGAGGTATTGGGCTAAAATAAATTACTGGGATTAGTCAATGTTTCTTATTTATATAGTAAATGCATGTATTTTTTACCAACATACTAACTAAACTGCATATTTCCTGAATCAAATCTTTCAAAATGAATGAATCAGACTTTACCATTCTTCATCTGGGGTTTGAGGAGGAGGGACAGGAGACGGGTTGTCTCTTTCCTCATCATCTCGTTCTCTTTCCTTTTGTGCAAGTGTTTCTCTCTTCTTGTCAATGATCTTCTGAGTGAAATCGACCAGGAACAGCCCCTCTGCCTCTTCATCTGAGGTATTACAGGACAAGTTTAATTCAAAGTGACTACATTTTGTCACACAGCTGAACATCAGGAAGATAACAATTATACTCCACCAACCTGGAAAGTCTCCTTTTGTCATCTGGTCGTAGAGTTTGGCTTTCTCCTCCAACTTGCGTCTGTTGTAAGAAGATAAAACCGGAGTCAGACGTTTTGCTCTTCATTGTGTTATGTCAGTAAACCCTGTATAATGTGTTACACTGACCTTGATGTATCCAGGTTGACCTGCTCCTCAGCCAGCTGCTCTGCATCTTTCTCAGCTCTTGCTGAAACACCAGCATTTTGTTTGCTCCAGACATTACGTTTCTACACAGCAGCATGAAGACAAGACACCCTGGTTAGTGATCTCACTCTGTAGTTACACAAGCAGGTACAAATAAGCCCCCCAACATAACACATACTGTACCTTGACTTTGGATTTTGATGCAACTCCAGCAGCACCAGCATTTTCATGCCCAAGTTTATCCTGCTTGAACTGCTCCTGCTTTCTGTACAGTTCAGCTTTAAGATCTACCAGCTGTAAGAAACATGTTAGAGAAACAGAGATAAAGAATGAACTACAAAAAATTATTTTGGCTACTAAAACAACTGTAACTGTGTATATGCTCCCAATGTATCCTGGCAGCAAGTTAGCTAACGCTAGCTACCTGTTGTTAGCACTTAATTAAACGTCTCACGGCCACACAGGGTGTCAATAAAATGTGTATAAAGCTGCTTCTCAGTGTAACTCACCGATGAAGCGGTCACATCGAAGGGTTTCTTCTTTTTATCCATGTTTACCACTTCTTTTCCATAGTATCCAGGCTTCTGCTGTAGTGTTAGCGGTGATTGTCTTCTTCGTTGGTGGATCTCTTGCTAACAGAATTTCGCTTTACTGCCGACTAGTGGCGGTTTGATTGCTACTCTGTTGCTAGGGCAACAGCTTTGCCTCTGTCAGTTACTCATAGGAGGGGAAGAAGTGATGCAAAAAGGGGGGAGGCATGTCAATAATTTTTTAATTACTGGGGAGGGATTTATATTTTTATTTTGGCTTAGGGGAGAGCATACAAATTTAAATTATTTTGCATTTATTTTGCTGTCAATATTTAAAGAAAACATGTTTTCCAAACCCGAGTTTGGAAGGTATATATATAACATTTCAGTCACAAGTTAGGAGCTGAAATCGTAAAACTGCATTTCATGGGTTGCAGGCCTATTGTGGCTTTAAAGATATTTTAACTGATAAAAAAGAAAAAGAAAAAAGAGAGAATTGGTTATATTCCAAGGCACAGAGCAGGTTGAAAAGGGAGTCATAGATAATCGCAAAAGAGTAGGCTACTCCTTTATTTTATAACCCATCTGTAAATCAAGATAATTACAGTCTTGTTTCCAAATATAAATAAGGATATAAGCATCGGAAACAATACAATAGTAGGCCTACAGCCTATAATGAGGTAAATGTCATGCAAACTGCAAACACTTCTTTGGCCACAACAGACCTTTTTTACAGCAGACATTCTGACATATCATGGTAGGAAAATCATAGATGAAATTGACAACATTAACCATGTTTAGTTTAGTTCCATTACATGTCCCAGTAAGCTATTCCACTGAGCCAGCATGCCAGGACCTCCTCTAAGTGAAATGCAGTCATCATTAATGTTATTAAATACACCTATTCTGCTCCTATCATGACAAGATAAATTGTTTGCTGTGCAAAATGTGTATTGTGATTATTTGGTTACAAGAAGCCTTAAAGTTCAATGAAGACATACCTTTGTTATTACCACAGACATAAAGTTATGTGTATTCACACTTTATGGCTGTTTGATCCAGATAAAAGCAGCTGTAGACATAAATAAACTGAGCGACACAGCTTTAACAGGCTGCACACTGTCCTGCAGACAGCAGTCAGTTTCTGGCAGAGGATCACTTTTTGGCACGACAGCCTAATGTCCTCACAGTGGATCACCCAGCATTAATCTCCTCAGAGTGTTTTCTTAGTCTGTCTTCCACTCCTGCCTCTGCAAATCTTAATACAAATGTTAAATTCTCTCCAGCAGAGGTGCAGCTCTGTGCATTAGGAAGAAGTTACGTAAGTTCTAAAATCTTTTTCATAAAAACACAATATACACCATTAAAGATTTTCTCCTGTTTCCGAGTAACTGTATCACACTCCTCACAGCCTGTTGTAGTTCTGCTTTAGTTACACTCATAAGCCTGTAATTTAAAATCCAGCTGATTTAACTGTGTGAGCTTTTCATCTTCCATATTGACACAGACAACCCATTAAGGTTTTTGTACTCTAAGATTCTACAAGGCCCATTTAATGAAGTTATAAAACATCACAACTTCACAGATATGACAAATTCTGAAAAATGATTTACAAAGGGCTTTTATTCCCAGAATGCTCTTTTGGTTTGGTTTTGAAAGTTGGTAGCATGATCTGTTGAAAGGTTTCACCACATAATCTTATCAAATATATATGACAACAGATTTCTCAATTTGATGCACTGAAGACACATTAAAAAGGTTCTCAGTGTGACTGTTACCTGTGTTGATATAAAGCTCTTCTTGAGTAAACACTATTTGTAATCATTTCCATGTGTATTGCATTTGTCCCAGTGATGACAGCTCAATATTGGCATGTTTCTGTGGGCACACCTAATAGAATGAATCAGCCCCATTTATCTGTATCTCTATGACAGCAACAATATTACTTACATCACCCTGGCAAACAGATAAGATGATGAACAGGTCTATCAGGCTACAACAGAGAAATCCCCACTTTGTTATCAATTTAAACATTTGAACAGTCCAATGCTACCAAGATATGAAGCACAAATACCTGTTGCTATTATATCTAATGAATTTAAAACCAACATGAAAGTGGATCAACGGTATAAAAAGGTGTGAAGACATTAGGTCCCAAACATTTTGAGGGAAAGAGAACTAAAGTTGCTGTCTATATCAGATTAAGATTAGCAGATTTACACATCAGATTGCTTCATCATATTGAGATTTTTATTCCATCATGTTTTTAAAAAGAAGCACTTGTTTGCTGTTCTTCCTGTTGTGTTCTCTGACCTTGTGGTGTAAGTCAACCAGCGCGGGCTCCAGCTTCCTCAGCCCTTCACAAAAACCTCAGGTAAGATACTTTTTTTCTGACAGCCATTAAAGACATTTGGATTAATTCTTTGACTGGTTATATGCATATTGAAAAAATAATGTAAACCAAGAAAAGTTAATTCTCTCTTTATCTAAACCTGTAGATGTAAATGTGCATGCATCTGTTTTGCCACTCAAAAAAATGCAACTTTATGCAACTTTATACTTCACATCCACTACTTCTCACAGGCAAATGTACTTTTTACTGCACTACATTTGTCTGACAGCTTTAGTTGCCTTTAAGATTACCATTTTTATACCTTTCCTACCCAGTGTTCCTTTATGTGATGAGAAAATTCTCCTCCTTCTTAAGCTAAATAAACTCTTTAAAATCCCTCTTGGATCAGCTGGAAAAGACATCGTCACAAAGCTGAAAACTGGGCTGCTTTTCCGACACCATAAAAAGCTGACTCTCTAGAGATATGTGGTTCATAGGGAAGCAACACTATGAACATATAATGATCTTATAGAATATGACCCATTGCTCCATATTTAACTACCCAAAATAAATACATTGCAGCATAACGCACATCTATTCTTACACACTTCTTTTGTCTATTTTCTTATAATATCTCTATGCAAATATAAAGTATATGAGCAACTGTAAGTAACACATCCTATTTTCCCTCCCAAGGATCAAAAGTATTTCTGATTTCTGATATAAAGTAGTTAAATTAGCTCAATTTTAAACATCTGCAGCAGTTGCAACAGACACATTAACCAAAAAACTTCAGATACAATAGTAAAACACTGACAGGTTACATTTTACTACACACATTATACCTTTCATATTTTAAAGTATGTTTTTCTGATAACACTTACATAATTTTACTTTAGCAAGGCTTCTAATGCAGGACTTTAAGGTGTGGTGGATGTATTTTCACACTGTGGCAGAAGTACTTTAACTCAAGCAAGGGATCGAATACTTCTTCAACCTTCTTCCACCACCGCCTTTACACCCTGCTGTTCTTAACATGACGTCATCATGACTTTCAGCATAATGTAGTGTTTGTTTTCCTTGTGTAATACTCTTACATTTAATGTCAAATCATGTATCAATATTTTACAAGTAATCTCTCTCTGTCTCGATCCTTGGAAGACAAGGTTTTCTAAGCTCCTGCAATCCCACTGAGCACCATGTTCAATATCTAAATTTAAGCAGTGTTAGTTATGATGGTTGTGCTGATGATGGCCCTGTGTGGATCCCCTTTGGCATCTGAATGTAAGCGGTCAGTCTGCAGACATTTTTCCAATTGTCATGGAAATTTCAAAAATTGACAGATCACAAGAGATGAATTACGGGCTGTGTGGATACTGCGATCATAGTTAGCACAGCAATGACTTCATATATCCATACTTTATGTGGGTTGTTCTCTTTGACTGCATTTGAACTTATATATACACTAATATATAACTGGACTGGTTACTATCGTAAGATTTCTCTGTTCTGGATCAACCACAGAACAAAGGGAAGCCTTCCAGAGTCGGCCGCCAAGTCATGGAGGAGCCTAAGGACAACCACATCACAGTGAGTGGAAATCACACTCATGACTCCACCACAGCAAAAGAAATCATCTCTCTGACTTTATCATCTTCCTCTCCTCTAAGCAGATTAGTGCCCCCTTTGAAATCGGCTTCACCCTGAGAGAGGAGGACTTTGAGGAGTACGGTGCAGCGCTGCAGGAGATCATTCAGCGCCTGCTGGGAAACACAGAGCCTGCAGCAGGTGTGCCTAATTCCTCTGGTTTATACATTAACATGTTTTTCTTCCTATGGTGAAATAACGTAACTTAGTTTTTTTTTAGGTTATTTTTAAAGATAATGCTTCATCTTGTTTCAGAGAGACCATCATAACTATGAAGATCATGGACAAGAAGTTCAAATTTGCCATCTCAGTGCCTTCCTGTTTGAACTTTATTAGATAGTGATCATTAACCAGTTCACCTGTAGACATGCTAGTCTCATTTATTTCAAAGCATAATGTATTTCTTTTAGCTCTAACATTGCTATTTGAATAGTCTGTACCACTAAATCTTAGAGAAATGTTGGATGTAAGAGTCATTACAAGTCGGCTGTCACCACATGACCTTAATATGGAGCCTAGCTGGTGAAAATATGGTTGAAAATTGAGTTTAACGAAACATAAATGTGGATAGAAGATGACTGTGGTTATATATGGAGCCTGAGTTATTAACCTACTGTTCTTAAAAGGGAACATCACCTACATTATTTTCATGGCCTAGGAAAGTTCAATCAATATTGAACATGAGTTATTGTCTCTCAGAGCCAGAAACCAGAGAGTTAAGTCTCAAACTTGTGATGTCATTAAGTATAAAATCTGGAGCAGCTCCACGGATAATGAATGAAAGACTGATTTTATGGCCCAAAGAATATTTCTTTCCTTTTTTTATACCTATATGAGCTTTATTCTATTGTAGTGTCTCAGTAATCAAATGTACCCATATACTCAGAACATTCCTCTGAGTGAGCGCACTGTTATCTAAAACATCTTTTGCAATTCATTGTTGATGGAGTAGCGCCAGACTTAATATTCCACATCACAAATCTGAGTTTTAGCACTCTGGATTTTAGATTTGGGAGAGAGCTGATCATGTTCACTTATATTACTGGACTGTCTTAAACCACAGGAATATGTATATGTATTTTAAAAACAGGCGTAGTTTCCCTTTAAGGTTAATACTGAACTTCCTCTCTCAAAAGGGTAAAATTGTAGTCACATGAACGCCTCTCGTCAAATCACGCTCAGTGGTCTGACAGTTTTAATCTGTTCGTTTTTAAAACTGTCAGCAGATGAGTCACTTATATGCTTACCTGTGTAATGATCTAATGTTATTCGGTAGTAAACAGCTATTCTCTATTGTTCTTATTCATACTCGTAGACCCACACGTTTGTAGAAATAAAGCATCAACTAATCTTCTCTGTCATTGTCTCATCTTTATCAAGTATTACAAAAGAAAAAATGAAGGTCAGATTTGTGGGTGAAATTGAGGAATAGACAAGGGGTGGGGAAATGGGCAGGGGTATGTTATTTCCTCCTTTAATTAGTGTTGTGATACATCTCTGTATTCTGCTTACCAATGAAAAAAAAATAGTGTTAACACTTTGCAGTTGTATTCCTCCACCAACTGATCAAATTGCAGTTTACACTCATGTCAGGTCCAGACTCGTATAATATATGAAGTAATTACTTTAATAAAAGGTATTATGTGTATTTTTTGGTGAAATGGATGTTTTCACTATATTGACGTGTCTGATTCCAATGAATAATTTCCAGAGAAACATGCTGTCTTCGCTTAGAGTTATGGCGCTGAATAATTGTGAACTAGAATTACTGTATGTGTTTGTGTATGAATTCTTGCGATTTGGCCAAAGACGTGTAGAAGATTATCCCTTGACCCTACTTGACCTTTGACCCACAACCACCAAACTCTAATCAGTTTATCGTTGAGTACAGGATAGTTTTGCTGGACTGGCAAAAATCCCCTCGAGCCATTTCTGAGATATCAAGTTCGCAAGAATGCGAATGACACGGACAACCCGAAATAATAACGACACCAAGTGTTTTTGCAGAACATTGTGATGTCACAATAGCCAATCAGAGCAAAAACACAAGGTGACGTATTCACTGCACTAAGCCCCATTTGTTTGCCGAACAGTGGGGCTAACTGACATATTATGCTTTTGCCGCATCCCGTTGGCAAAACAGCAAAGACGTCTTTCCTGGAAACAAAGGCTTCTAGGGCAGCGTTCTGTTCCTCTCTCAAGGAAAAAGATAAGTTTAGTTGGCTTAGCATTTCTTCCAAAGCGAAACTGAATGGATGCGATCCTTCGGCAGCTGCCATCTTGGCTGTTTACTTTGACGCCTACAGTGCAGCGCTATCTTCATCATGTTACGCCTGCCCAGAGCCCGCCTTTGTCAGATAGACTAACAAAAAAAAAAAAAAAAATCATGTTTTATGTTACAATAAAGATCTAGGCAAAAATTGTCCCTAACCCTAAGTTAATGGTTTCAGTTAACGTTTTGTTTTTAAGTTGTTTTTTTAATTTTGGTCATTGTAAAATTGATCTTAAATATTATTCCCAGTGGCATTAAAAAGTCTTAGAGCTAACTTGCCTTAAACTGTAGGAACCACTAAATTAGCATATGAATTCTTGACCTTCATGCCAAATTTGAAGAAATTCCCTCAACTTGTTTCTGGGATATCGCGTTAACAAGAATGGGACGTACGGACAACCCGAAAACATAATGCTCCAGTCTCAGCACTCGCCAGCGCTGAGGCTTAAAATCTGCAAGGACCACTCATTCACATCCTAAATAATTTGCACCACTGCGTAGAAATGGACGTGAAAATACAAATAACTCTGCCCATAACAAAAGGTCCAGTCTCGAAGTTTGCTTGAGTGCTGGTTTGACAGCTTCTAAGTTTTTCAGGGTCACTAACTTCATACAAGCCTAAATGTCTTTGTTCTATTCCCGGCACGGGCAACAAATTACCCACTCCCAGAACAAGGTTGAAATCTTCGTGTTCAATCTGAAGAACTGGGTCAAACACAGCAAAGCACACACTGCTCTAGTGCTCGTGCGAGTCCTGCCTTCCACCTTGTAGCTTTCAATAAACACAGAAACGCAACCGTGGACATGATGTGCTCTGACCTACATCCTGGAGAGAATCTGAAACTCCTGGAAATGAGGCTGTCATTAGGAACTTGGCTGAGAGGGAAATGTATGTATCTTAACACATCCCTCTTGTCAAATTTTGATATACAAGAGACACATCTATTCAGCTACCATTAATCTTGGCCTTGGCTGGGATTGTTGGGAGACCAGGAAATGTAACAAGTGGGCCAGGCTGATGATTCACAAAACAAAAAGCACTCAAGCAAACATGTGTGACAAACATGGTGTTATCAAAGAAAGCTAATGGACTAGTCTGGCAGCCACTTTGTTTCTTCAATCAGCTTTGCTCATTTACTCTGTATTACAGACAACATTTTACTCTATTTTTCATCGTAATATGCTCTTATGTGCACTGATGAACAAAAACAAAACCATATCTGTAGAAGAAAGAAGTAGGATTAAAGATTTTTAATACATCTCCACTGTGTTAAACCAAACTAAATTCCACAGCGGCTGGACAAGACGGACATCCAAACAAATTATAACAAACAAGGGATGTCAAATTATGTCAACATAGCAAAAACAACAAGAACTTAAAACCAAAAATACTCAGGAATTAATTTCTTTGATGAACAATGAAGTGAAATATGATCAGATAAACAATAATACAGAGTATCTCTATCAGACGGGACATTTTACTTTCGGTCATTGCTTTATTTTGCCTTTTATTTCTGAGTCTTTCAGATAAAACAAGACCACTCCTCCATATTCCTACAGCTCTACATGGAGGACTGATAAATCTAAAACAAAAAGCCACATGAAATGTTAAAGTCACAAACCAGCTCCAAAACCTTTGATTCTGTCACCTCTTTTTTTGTTTTGCGACTTTTACCCACCATCTCTGAAGATCATATACCGTAGAGTTGACTGGTGTTGTTTCGGACAGCGGTGAGCACTGTGGCCATGTCTTTCCCCTTCAGCAGGCTCAGCTCACGCAGCGTGTGGATGCCCATTCCAGGGTGTGAAAACTGGCAGACATCTTTCTTCACCTGAGTGAGACACACTTATCATGAGCATGTATCAACTGTAATTACAATACACTTAGCTGTGTAATTTGTTATACTTAAAGTCAGTCAGTCATTCAAGAGATTAGAGCAGTGCTAGTGTTCTTAGGCCTCAATTTAAATGTACCTGTCTTGGCAGGAAATATGGTGCATCTGTCTCCAACACGATGCGATCGAGAGGGATGCGGCGGACAGCATCTCGGGCCTCGGTGGCCTTGTGGTAGGTGATGAGGGCTGTGAAACCCACATACAAGTTGGGGAACTCTGTCAGGAAGGGCTCAATCACTGGATAACTGTTTGTGAAACAGTGCCTGGAAACCATATGCGTATAAAGAAAGAATACACACAGATTAAATGCAATTAACTCTTTGAAACTCCTTAAAGTTATATTCTTCAGTATTTTTAGATTAGTTGATTTGGCCACAATGAGAAAACATAAAATAATCCACTGACAAATATTATTTTTTTGATGACTGAACGATCGTGGTCAGCGCTAACCACAGAGACATTTTGTTTTCTGTGAAACTGCTTCAGTGTGTAATAGCCTCCCATATTTCAGAAAGGGATATTTTGGATTTTTTGATGTGGGGTTGTATGAGGTATTTACCCATAGTCAGTGTTTTATCCACAGTAAATCATGCCCCCACTTTGAGAAACAGGCAAAAGTATGCAATTTACTGCTGGGGACGAGGGCAGCAGCCAAACATACTCTAACTGAAGGTGTACATCCATATAACCTCTCTTCATAGCCACCAGCCTCTTTTGACAAAAACATTTTGCATCATTTCACCTTGCAGAACACAATAACACAAACAAATTAACCGATCGAGGCAGCTGAAGATCATCAATCTTGTGTTTTCTGGGGTAAAATTATTGTTTTTGTCAAAAGGAGTCCGGTGGCTTTAAAGAGACCATATATAACAGCTTCAGTTCCCTGTCGGAAGGGGCTGTCTGACGGCAAGGTAAAGCTGTGAAAATATTCTAAATATAGCATGCACATAGGCTGATATTGATTCTGTCAATCCCTCATGCATAAATAGGCAATCTGAATTAAGTGAAGGAACAGTGAACTCTTCCACCAACAATGAAAACTACTATACAGAAAGATAATTACTGAATCTGAATATATTAGATAGCTACTGCAGAAAAACACCAACCATAAACAGCATCAAAAATGGGTTTGATTTCATAAGTATCTTAAGGATTATAAACCAGTCAGAAGGGAGGTAACATTTCCTTGTGTTAATATTTCATAGTGATGTAAAATGAGAATAATCATCCATAGGATCACACCTGTGAATTTTGTAATCCCTTGGGACACACTTCTTCATGATTTCTAGCAGGTCATCATCTGCATCCCTACAGTGGATCACCAGAGGCTTCTTCATGCCCACAGCCAAACGCAGCTGACGCTCCAACACCTTCAAGCAGGGAAAAAAATGCAGACCACACCATACATTATTATTTTACAATAGTATCACTCCACTCCACAAGATATATTTAACGATAAAGGCCTCTCTAATTTAAGATAAACAGTTACTGGACTACAAAGTTTCAGCTGACGCAGACCACATCGACGCAGACCGTACCTCTTTTTGCTTGGGGGTGTCAGTGGAGTTTTTGTGGGAGTAGTCCAGGCCAATCTCGCCAAATGCCACAGCTTTTGGATGCTGCATGGCCATCAGTATATTGCGTTCATGGACACTTGTGTAGTACTTGGCAAAGTGGGGGTGGCAGCCAAATGCCCCCCACACCATGTCTTCAGCCAGCAAACCTTCCCACAGGGCCTCCTTCATCATGAGCCTTGGGTTGCAAAAGTTGGCGATACAGCCTCTGAACTCTGGAGGGAAGCTGCTTTGGTACTTCCTTTGAAAGCTTCTGAACGTCCCGCAGAAGCCAAGCTTGCCATAGAGCATGTCTATGTGGCAGTGGGAGTCTATGAAGCCAACCTGACTGTCCTGTTTGGGATAACTGGTCCACATAGGCTCTGCCCCCTGGGATAATCTTCTTTTAGGAGTGCCACTGTGAGTAAAGGGGTGGGAGGGGTGACACATGGAGGAGACAACATCTGACCGCCTGCGTGATGTTCTGGAGTTCATGTGAGGGTTCAATGCTTTTCTGTTTGAGTGTAGTGGCAGAGCAAAGGGATCTGTTAAATGCGCCCTAATGTTGGGCGAGCGGAAACTTCCAGTCTCAGCCCTGGATGCCTTTGAAGGGGCCGTGTTTGATGAGTGGGGTTGCTTGGCTGAGACAAAAACTGTCCTCTGTGGCAGTGAGAAAGACATCTCCAGGTGCTCAGCAGCTGCCTGGACAGACCCAGTCGTTTCAGTAGTGTATAAAAAGGTAGAAGAGGAAGTTGTAGCTCCCTGCATACTCACTGAAGGACTTCTCCATTGTTGGCTGTCAAAAGAGCCACTCTGAGGAGTCATGAAACAAGACAGAGAGTCTGGGATATACTCCAGTTCAGGGAAAGACAAGTCACAATCCTCGGCTTCTGGTCCATTTTCTGTAGCAAATAACTTGTCTTGAGAGGTTGTTTATACAAACACGGGGTCCGGAGCTATAAAAATCTTGGGCGAATCTTCTCCTTTTAGCACAACACACTGAAAAAAAAAGATAAACATATAGTAAAAAAATATAAAAATAACATCTCCCAGTAGCTTTTGATACTCAGTGGCTTGATGATTATTTTATGGTCTCAATTAGGGCTGCACAATTAAAAAAAAAAATCACATCATCATTTTTTGTATTTTTTTTCCCCAGTGAAAATGAAATGCAGAAATTACGATTTCTACTAAAATTGTAACTCGTCAACTAAAACATTTGAAATTATATATAAGTAAACAAGCCTACAAGAAAAGATAAGCTTTTTGGGGGTTAGTTAACTTACTCTTCTGTCTGTTTTGAGCCTCGAGACCTCAACTTGGCCTTCAGTGTCCTCAAACATCTGGAGGGAGGACTGCTGGTCTTCCCGGACAGTGCTGTTGTCCCAGTGTTCTTCCCGGGCAGTGCTGTTGTCCCACCATTCCTCCTGGACTGTGCTGTTGTCCCAGTGTTCTTCCCGGGCAGTGCTGTTGTCCCACCGTTCCTCCTGGACTGTGCTGTTGTCCCACTGTTCCTGGACTGTGCTGTTGTCCCACTGTTCCTCCTGGACAGTGCGGTTGTCCCACTGTTCCTCCTGGACTGTGCTGTTGTCCCACTGTTCCTCCTGGACAGTGCGGTTGTCCCACTGTCCTTCCTGGACCGTGCTGTTGTCCCACTGTCCTTCCTGGACTGTGCTGTTGTCCCACTGTTCTTCCTGGGCAGTGCTGTTATCTTCAGATTTATTCTCAGGTTTGACTGAGGAACATTTGAAATTTGTGACCGCTCTGTCAAGTGCCACTGGACTAGGTGCTTCAGTCCTCACTGGTGAAGACAAAGACAGGCTAGTCCTGTGGATATCTGTAGTGCTTGTGCTGCCAATGGCTGCTATCAGTGCCCTCCTACAGATAGCCTTTGATACCTCTTCAGGTGTCTTCTCTTTTTTTTTCATGCCGAAAGTTTGAGGTGAAGGTGAGGACACTTGCTGGCTCTCTGTAGATTCCAGCTGTCTGGGTGATTCGTCCATATGTTTCTCCTGATAGTTATGGTGCAAACAGACAAATAAATCAGCATTTTTTTTAACAAGAACTTAACATAATGAATGAAATAGCACATTTGAGACTCTAACTTTCATTTAAAAAAGGAACATTATATTTAGACCATTAAAAGATGGGTAGAGCAAGACTATAGTTAAGACTTACTTCTGAAGTCTTGAAATGTTCATTATTTCTCCTGGAAAGCTTCCTCAGCTTACGTTTGCCTGAAGAGGGCATGCTTTCACCGAGTTCCACTGCTTTTCTCTTGGGAGTATCCAGACTCAGTGCTCCAAGACCGTCAGGTCCTGGAGAGTCACTGAGAGGCACAGAATCTGAATCTTCATATGGCGACATATTCCAGCGAGAGGATGTGCCTGACCCAGCATCTATCTCCTGAGGATGTGCAGGTGGGGTAGCTGCAGTTCGTATCCACTTAAATGCCAACTTCTTTCTGTTGCTGTCCATGTCGGAGATTTCTAATCCAATGCACAGTTAGAGAAAGAATGATCTGTTTGAGTGACCATCTAGTACATCATGCGGGCAACAAAGTGAAAACATGAAGGCATCACTGTTCGAAAAGTCAAGTAAAAACAAGAGTATTCATTATTCCTACAATAAGAAGATATGCCAATACCTTGTGATCAATTTAACAATGGCCATGCTCATTAAATAAACCATGTAGCATGCTGTATGAAAAATACATTTCTCCCTGTAAGTTATTTTTCTAATTCTTGAATTAAATATTTTCTTGTAAAAATCTGCTAAAAACAGACATCGTAAAACTGGCTTTAACTGACTGGGATTATTTTTTATTATTTTATTTATCTGGTTTTCATTTTTACCATATACTTTTATTATCATCTCTTATGTCCTTTAATAAAGCATTTTTTCACTATGTCTATAAAAGTGCTATTCAAATAAAGTTAATGTCATTATTATATTCATGAGGGTGTATCAGTTTTTTAGGATGTTGGGAGAGGTGGTTTTTGTTTCAGGTGAGGCTGGGCTACCACCTCGGCAAAGCAAGTGACTGCGCTAGGGATGGCTTTGTCTGGCAAAATACATCACTATAGCACAATATCAGCTGCCTTGATTTTTCGTTATAACCTGATCTTGAGACCCTGCCTTGAAGAGGAGCCTTGTGTCAAATTATAGTTTCCAGATATACATAATATGACTAAAAGATCATGCTTATCCTTGCCCCAAGCAAGATAATCTGGCCAGGGTGGCCTACCTCCACTTCAAATAAAGTACTACAGCAGCCAGTACAGAATGCTGCAGCTTGTATTTCTACTGGGATAAATCCTAGGTCACATATCACTCTAATTCTCGCCTCCCCCACTGGTTGCCAGTTTACTTCTGAATTGGTTTTAGGATTCTTTTAATAACTTTTAAAGCTCAACAGGGTTTTGCCCCCAGTTATATAGCTGAGCTTCTGACTACCTATGATCCTAGTTGTGACATGAGATCCTCAAGCCTACCCTCATTAGTCATCCCTAGATCAAGTCTGGTAACTAAAGGTAACCGGGCTTTTGCCATCAGGGCCCCGAAGCTCTGGAATTCTCTGCTTGAGGGGATTAGGCTGGCTAACACATAATTGCTTAAAACAATTTTTTAAAAGGAAAGCTTTCCCTTTTAATGACTACTTGTATCTTTTGTGTTTTATCTCCTTTGTTCTGTGATTGCCACACTATGTACACACACACTATTTTCCTGACCTCTTACATCAATATTGTATTGTTTTGTTGTCTCATTTTTATGCACTTTGTAACCTTGTTTAGATAAGTGCTATACAAATAAATATAATTATCATTATTATTAATCAATTTACGGTATTTGGCCCCGGTAGAATGTTGGGTGGCCAGCCAACCATTTTCTAATTCACAATGAGAATAAACTGAATTATTTTTTATTTCTTGTGCTGTGAGTGTAATTAAGGTGCCAAAGTACATAAAAAAATCAAAATAGAGGTTGTTTATTTAAGAAAAGTGCCTGGATTTCTAAATCCTAAAAACAGCTGCGCACACCTGACCTATGCTGGGCTGCTGCAACTGCATTTGCCTCATGTCAAAGATGAGTGTGGGCAGCAAGCACAGGTTTTATAGTAGGTACTGAAAAATATTATAAATGTTTGTTTATTAACAGGCCTCTGGCATCCTGTTACTTTGCAAAAGGGCCCCCTGGGCAAGGCAAGTTTAGTATATACATGTGTGTACTACAGGAAACCCTCAACACTGTGCCATGCGTAGCAGCAGCTATTCTTCTTCACAGGTCTTCGATCTATTAACGTTACCACCTTCAGAGGTGCATGCCGCCACCCACTGTACCAGAGTTTGTTACACCATGATTTTAAACAACAAAAACAAACAAAACCAATAAAATACACATTTTAAAAGAAGTTTTAAAAACTTTTTTATAAACTCGTGAAATACCAATACTTAAACTCCTAAAACTTCCCTTTAAATGATCTGGCTGTGCCACACATTACAACCACCACGTTTGTGACATAGCTAACAAGTTAGCTAACATAAACCTGTAGCTGTGTCAGATGAATTTTAGGTGCTAATGTTTTTGCCGAACTTTATTCCAGTTTAACGGTAACAAAAGTTGTTTGGTTATTGTGCAGCTTTATATTACAGTCAAACCTGACCGCGGTAGAGAAGACGCCAAAACTTCGAGTTAGCTAGCACACTCACTTTAGTCAACAGTTAGCTAACTAGCATTAACAGTTAGCTAACTGTGTTCACTCGCTGAATTCAAACTGCGGCTCAAATGCGCACAAAAGCCACTGCCATTTTTGTTATGATCTTACACTTCTTTATCACATATAGAGGCAGTTAGCTACACTGCTAGCTAAATTCATTTAATGAGGTTAAGGTTAAGTTGAAGAGTTGCTAGGTAAATTACCTTCTCAGGCTCGGCAAAGTAGAAATGGCACGGACAGAGCAGGAAGTCAAAATAAGATGTTACTTTATCCGCCACTCGGTAGCTTAACGTTACACGTTTTCTTGCCGACTTTTGTGAGCAAAAACAAAATATGACAATGTTTCATTGACATATTGGATTGAATTAAAAAGTTTGTGTTTAAATGAACCGCTAGATGGTGTCAAAGTTCTGTTTGGCGCCGTTTGTCGGCCATAACGTTTAACGAGAACAAGCGACAGCATTTGCATACATCTCGCGAGATCAGTGAGATTTAACCAATGAGCGGGAAGCACCATGACAACAGGTGGGTGTCTGCTGGGAAGTTTAGGTGCTCATGGCTGCAGACATCCATGCCCACTTAAGGTTCGACAAGGCAGATGTATTCATTTATATAGCAATTTATTCAATGTTTTTCATACATTTAACCTTCAACAGAAAAAAAATAATTCAAATAGTGAATAAATTAAAATGTATTGTGTAGCCCATACAGATTTTGAGACAATCCTGATTATAAAAAAATCAAAATAAAGACATTAAGACAAGATAAAAATGATTAACACAACCTTTAGAAGGCAGCAGAGAATATAAGATTTTAAGCCTGCTTTTAAAGGTAAGTAATAAAGTGATGAACAGTGATAGTAGGCTATAGCCAACAAAAGAGGTGTACTCAACACAAAGTAGTAATTATAGGCTGCTAAACATGCCTCAACTCACCCTCCTCCCTACCTCACCCCAATGTATTGACAAAAATATAGTAAAAAATAAATAAATGTAACAAGTTGCCATTATTATCATTATTAGTCTGACAGTGTACTGCAGTTCTGCATGAGGTTTTTGTCGCCGTGCCCCAGTACAACAGTACAACAGCTCACTGGCATATTTAACTAACATTAATGCCTTACAACATTATATAGCTATGTCAGATAGCACCCCATGTGAAGTCTGAGTAAAGTGTCAGTCGTTTATGTTGCGCTGCATGTGTAGCTTATATAGACAGCAGTAGCTTTCATTTATTGCACATGCTATATAGCTCTAGCCTACTTGCTTATGATAAATACTATAATAGAGTAGGAAATTTGTTTTTAAATTGTGAAATCTTTTCTGGAGGGAGACCCCTAAACCTGACGGCAGATTTGGTCCCCCCAGTGTTGACTCCATGGCTATGGCCTTGGCTCAGTACATTTAAATTTCCTTAATAGATATGCACAAATTGTATTAAAACAGTGATCATCATGCCCCTGTGCCAAAACCTGCACTTTATTTTAAGATGCTCGCATATTTTATTTTATTTTTTTAATTTAACAAACAATATTCAGGTGAAGTAATTAAACACACTACCTGAAGCACATTATTCCAGTCACAGCAGTTTTTTTATGCCCAAGTTTAATACTTCAAATGAACAGCATTTCCACTGAAAGGCAAATAATTCTTCAGGTGAATAGGGCATCTTAACAGCTTTTAAAGTGTGGACACACTCTAGTAAGATGATAGAGGATTAACTATATCTTCTGAGTGAAATCACATGGTTGGAAGTGAGTTCAACCAATTATAACAGACAGTTACGAAACTCCTAAACAGTAACACGTTTTGTTAGACTTTGGGTAATCCCAGAGACGTCTTGTAGGCACCAATGCCGTATCCTTTACCTGTTAGGAAGGAATGGAGATGCATCAGTAATGTAAACTGACATCAGTATGTTAGCTCATATAAATATTTAGGTTTCTGTCTTGATGAATGTATGACTTATGAGGTCTCGTTTGGGCTTCTTGTTCACTTGTCTGCTGAGAGAGCTTTAGGATCAATTATTTTACATATACTCAACTCTATGATGCATGTGTCTCCCTATACTGAATCATGCTGCAGGGTTATGGGGCTTAAAAGAATCTAAACCTGCTTAAACTTTACAGAATAGAGCTGTACAATGTTTTCTGGGGGTTTGTAGATTTGCTCCTATTCCAGCAGTTCAAGGAGACATGAGCTGGGTACAATTATGTGTGATGTTGCTTTGCTCCATTTTCTTCCTTCTAAATATGCATGTTTGACTCTGGTCCTGGCTTGTTTTGTTTTTCTGGTGTCCTATAAGCCCATGTAGGCTGGGAATACTGTTAGTTGGACACATTAATAAAAAAAAATCATTCATCCGTTTAGTTATTCTAAAATACAAGATACCTACTTTCCCTTCTTAGAAATGCTGCTTGTGTCAAGCATTTAGAAGTGTTTACATTCCGTCTATGAAATACAGATAATATTGATTATCGGTTCACTCAATCCACTTTAATATAATATACCAACATAAAACATAAAAGTTTGACCTGCTGCACACAAACATTCACCAAAGACAATAAAAGCTACTTGGTTGTCTTTGAATAAAAACTGTAAAGGTGTGAGCAGTGGGAAGTCTGAACAGCGTGATCAGTAAAGAAAGATTTATAGGGATGTTGCATGTGCATGTAAATGTCACGCCAAGCTGATACTTCATGTATAGGTGACATCTGGATCAGTGCTCACATGCTGGGGCCTTCTTTTCGATGACCCAGTAGCAGAAGCCCCTCCTGGCACGGTCATTGAATTCATTCCTGAACTGGGGCATGTTTTGAGGTGACGTCTTTGGTGTGTTTTGATGCACACCTACAGAAAAAAAGATATTTAAAAGTGAAACATCAGGGAAGCAATTAATAAAAAGAATGATATTTAAAGGTCCAGTGTGTTGGATTTAGGGGATATATTGGCAGAAATGGAATATAATGTAATATGTTTTCTTTCATGTACAATCACCTGAAAATTAGAATTGTGTTTTCATATAGGATGAACCATTTCTATCCACATATGAAGCAGATCCTCATTCACAGAGATCGCCATGCTGCACCATCATGTCAGTTGGGCCATTGGAGTTTTCAAGTCGGCCATCATAGTTAGTAGCCCTTTTGTGATGAGCAGTGTTGGAAAAACACAGATTGTTTAACCTGAAGCTACTTTATTCAGTGTTTATGATAGTTTAAATCACTGGGTCCATTTGTTTTGGAGAGGAGGAGACCTCTGCCTCTCTGAACATCTGGATCTTAAGTTATCAGAGAAAAAAGGTGAGCACAGATTAACAGGTGCTGGGCTAGCAGCCATCTCTGGCATGCCAAACAGCATCGGAGAAACACTGATTTTTAATGTGAAACTGCTTTATTCTGTATTTTTAGCAGTTTAAATCCACCGGCCCATTTGTTTAAGAGAGGAAGAGACCTCTGCAGATAATTCAGCTCCCAGTAAAAACCTTCTCAACAATGAATACTAATGGAATTGTAACCCGGAGAAGGTTCAGCGGGATGCAATCTGCAATCCTCACTGCTGGATGCCACTAAATCTCTTTAAATCTTGCACACTGTTCCTTAAAACAGCTGTCATTAATGTGAGACCTACTGTATGCTTGCACCATGGAGGGAACAGGATCATTAACTGCAGTTTCTTCCAGTGTAAGATGAGGTAACAGGCTGCTGCTGGCAGTAGTATTCAGGGCGCCTTCATGTGATTCACGCACTAGCATATGTAATAAAGCCAAATTAGACACAGTTTCCTTTGTAAAAGACACATAGAAGTCTCTGATCTCTCTGTACTGTGCAACGTGCTCTCCTTGTTACTTTCCAGAGTCATTTTAACAAACCTGTGTCCTTCAACAAGGCAGCTGGGACTGATGCAAAATAAACTGGAACCTAGATGGGAATAACCGTGCATAGTATCACAAGAAAACAAAGTAGATGTATGCTTTTGTTTTTAATCATTCTGTTAGTAGAGGGTGTTTTGCTTCTGTTGTTCTTACCATTGTTTTCATTTTGCTCCAGTGGTCTGTCTGGAGATGTGGGAACACGACTGGGTGATTCCTCGTCCAAAATGTCATGCTGGTGAAGAAAATTGAAGGATGATGAATATTAGTTACCATCTATTCCCACTATCCAACAAAGTGACGTCACGCACAACACTGCTGCAAAACAAATACTGCACATGTGTGAGAGACACAGAGAGAGCTCTCGACAGTGATCAAGGTACTTACTTCTCTCTCCTGAAACGGCTCGAGTCCCATGTTTTTTTCTTTTCCCCTGCCTGCATGTTCCTGATATAACCGCGGCCAGCTCACCGCCACTCACACACACACAAAGATGGGTTGTGTTACTTTGTTGCTTAGCAACATGTTTGGCAACAGTACCCCTGCTGTGCTAAACTGGAGCAGGTTATAATTCCAGATTTTGACATGTGACTTGGACTGGACATCCTCGTGTGAGTCTGTGAGTTTATACAGTCAGGTTAAACAAGTGTCATTTGTGTGAAGTTATTTAGCTCTTACCAGACTTGATATATTGCAGGTGAAACCTTTTTCCACCACTGACATAATTAAGAATAATGACATTTCATTAAAGGAACACTTAACCTCAAAATAAGAAATACATAATTTCCCTCTTGTCTGTAGTGCTATTTATCAGTCTGAATTGTTTTGGTGTGAGTTGCCAAGTGTTTGAAATAGTGGCTGTAGAGATGTCTGCCTTCTCTCGAATATAATGGAACTAGATGGCACTCGGCCTGTGGTGCTCAAAGTGCCAAAAACAAATAAATACATACATAAAAATAAAAATAAATAAATAAAAAACATCTGATAAACTCAACAACGTCTCTTTCCAGAAATCATGACCCGGTTACTCAAGATAATCCAGACCTTGTTGTGAGCAGTTTCATGTCGAACTATTTCCTTTATCGAACTACCCCGTCAACTGAATCACCACGCAGAAGGAAGCGTGCATCTACTGCCAGCTCACCTAGCACCACTGAGCTAGCTAACGTCACAGCTCAGCCAAGGAGGAAGCCATTGTTTATATCTTGGGCTTTCACAAGTCTCTCGTCCATCACTACCTTCTGTGTGGTGATACAGTTGGTGGATGCAGTTCCATAGAAAGAAAAGTTCCTACATGAAACTGCTCACAACAAGGTCTGTGGATTATCTTGTGTGACTGGGTCATGATTTCTGGAAAGAGACATCGCTGTTGAGTTTTTCAAATGTATTTTTTGGCGCTTTGAGCACCACAAGCTGAGTGCCATCTAGTTCCATTATATTGGAGAGAAGACAAACATCTCTACAGCAGATATCTCCAACACTCAGCAACTCACAACAAAACAATCTAGACTGATAAAAAGCACAACAGGTAAGAGGAAAAATATGTATTTTTGATTTTGGAGTGAACTGTTCCTTTAAAATCAGTTTATGCTTGACAGCACTGAATATTCCTACATCATAAATCAGCAGTCCCATTCATTAAATACACTTGTAAACTGTACAATTGTAATTAAGTGTCTTGTATGTTGTCAAAAAGAAACTACTGGATATGAACTTTGTATTCAACATGCAAAATAAGTGGTTTTGTAATTTCGTCAGACTTGCAAAATAAACAGCAGCAAATTTTTACAGCTTTTCAATATTCACCCCTGTATGCTCTGAATAATGAGTTCTCAATTTATGATTTCTGTATTTGTGACCTCGTGTTTATAAATTAATAGTTCATAATCAATCGCTGATGAATTAACTGAAATAGTAACTTTCAATCAGTATTAAATATATATTTTATTTATGTATCACACAAATAAACAATGACAGTTGATACAGTAGCAATGTATGAATTCAACACATAATGACAGAATTACAAAGTAGGCAAAACAAAAGTATTAACTCTTCAGTCACAGTGTTTCACAGCCTGGTCTTAAAAAATGTTAAGACAATGTTAATCATTTTGTTTTCTCTGTAAGAGATCAGCTGCAAGACATTTTAGAAGAGACTCTGCCCATTTATTTACCAGAATAGGCCAACTTGGAAAATATACCCATAATCACTCTGTCTTTGTCCAGATTTGAAGTTTCAAAGCAAAGCTTTCTGATGATTGCTGAACACTTCAGTCTTGGTTCAATCTCAGAACAATCGGTTGTTATCTCAGGATGGCAAAGGCGTTACCCGCCCCTCTTACTTTGCCTCTGACTGGCTTATCCTGATAATCTTACCCTCACCCAAACCAATGTCACCCCTCATGTTTAAACCTAACCAACAAAAGCAATAAGTACTAGCCAGAGGGAGACTAAGTCAGGTCATGACTTCGCCTTCCTTGGAGAAAAAAATTGACCAATGGAGCAAGAGCCAATATTTTGGGGATCCCGGTGTAGTCAGTAGATATCCAGGCTAAGACTTCCTCTGCTGTGCGCTGGTCAGCACATGGAGGCAGTCCGCCTAAAGTTTCTGGCAGCAATCTATTAATTTAACCCCAACCATGATTTTTCTCTGAACATTACACAAGAAATCCCCTTCTGACAGAAAGCCTTTGAGGAAATCTTCTCCCAACAGCATCTGATCATTGTTTATAGTTGGGTTAGGAACTTTAGACGGGTCCAGACAACATTTTGGCTAATGTCTATAAACAGACATTTGCATATGATCACTATCGTCATCAGACGACTGTCGATGGATTCCAAATTTGCAGCCAATGTGTTCTGCCTCTTTTGTTCTCCACACAAACAGTTTACCTGCATGCAACCAAAGCCGCTCAAATGTGATTGGTCAATACTACCTGCACTACAAACAGAAACCACAACACTTCTGACACCAAGATCTTGTCCTACTGCCTACAAACTCTGCGCACATATGCAGATATCTGTTTATGAAGATTAGTCTTGGTTAAACTGTCGAGTTTAACATAGTATAACAGAGATGTGCAGTAAACTGGATAGTTAAGATCGCCTTATCTCAGGAACTCCCCGATAACAATATTAACAACGTATACAGTGTCTCTCTTTCTTTCTAATGTAACTATACGCATTTTATTTAGTGTCCTTTATAAATTGTGAAATTTAGGACATAAGATCAGCTTTAACACTGTATGCTTGACAAAATGTTCTTAAACTGTAAATTCTGTCTTGAAAAAATAATCAAAGTGTGCTTTTTTATGACAGAACTTGGGTATATGGCAAAATAAAGCATAAAGTAGCATAATCAGATAGCCATCACAGGCTAAAATGTCCCCATTTCTCTAGTGGCCTTTTAGGATTAAATATTAAAATCTTAAAATCTTTAAATACCATTTTAGAGGACAAACAATGCTATTTGAATGAAGATGCTGCCACCACATATTTTTCTGCTGAGGAAGACCTTTGCCAAAGCCAGAGAGTGAATATAAAGGCAGAAGATCAAACTCTTCTGCAGCAAAGTCTTTACAACAGCTGTTGATTCATCACAGAAGTGACTCCAATGTTTAATCTCATATTGCATGAATTCTGGCTTCTTTGCTTTCTAATAGTGTGCAATACCATATTGCCGCCCATACGCGACCATCGTCCATCCAGTTACACGCCTCATTCCTCCTGGCTTTGGATCCTCTCAAGCAGATGCTGCTCCACTCGCTGGTTCATGCGTCGGAGATCTTTCGTTACGCTGGGCTGATCTTCCAGTTCCTCGTGGAGACACCGTGCTATTTCCAGTCTCCTGTAGTCTTCTGCTCGAACCAGACGCCGAATCACTTGGAGAGCGCGATCCTTGAGGCTGTAAACTGTAAACCAAACGAGTGTTTTCACATGTGGAGAAACTGTTGAGAAGAGACAGTCTTTGCTTTCTCAAATTACAACAACAAATTGATGCCTGTGTAAATATATATCTGTCTTACTGCTGCATTTACAAATATTTCTGATGTTAAAAAAATATTCAATTGAATATAAAATTATTAATAATGTAGTCCCTGAATTAAAACACCAGTCAATCAATGTTTTTTGGCATTAAAAGCTTTATTAAACTAGAAAATCACTGCACAGGGACTCTCAGTGAAAACCTCTCACAGCAAGATCTGTAGATTATCGCTGTAATCGCTGCATGTCTCTGAAAATAACTTCTGAAGGGTTTTTTGGTTTGTTTTTTCAAATGTAACTTTGCAAAGCTTTGAGCACCACAAGCCAAATGTCATTCACCCACACTTTTTCTGCAGTGCGGTAGAAGCATGCGTAAAAGAGACCTATAAACCCTGCTTTATTGACTTTTTACCAACTAGAATTTACTGTCAGGCTAAGCGTGCTCAGAACACAGTCAACAGTGAAATGGGCTTCTTACACGGTGCATAATGAATGAACTCTTGATTGTATGTCTGTGAGTAATAATGAATTACATATGATGATAATGGCTAATATTTTAAGTCGTAGATAATCTCACCTGGTAGAGTGATATCAGCAAATGTGGCATTTCCACCCTCTACTGGTTTAGGAAGAAACAGTTCTTTGCTGTTCACCTTCAGAGGCTCATCAGTCTCTGCATCTCTGAACATCCATGGATGACCTGGGAACACCACAAATCAAAAACATTATCTAAAATAAAGTGATACCATTGTTGCACAGGCAACTAAACTGCAAATCATAGCAAGCCTTGAACTAAATGTCATCACTTCCTGTTGGTTGGTCCACTGACTCTAAATGGTGACCAACTTTGTGGTTCATAATGCTTTTATTGGAGATGCACCATTCCACAATCAGAAGATGTCCCTATGTCTCAGTGAAATCACAGTGGCTGCCGTCACAGCATCCTGGATGGAAGTCTGAGTAGCTGCTCCTCTGCTGTCTCTGTTGTTCATCTTAGCAAGAAACTTTTTCACGTCTGCTGCTTTTGCTTTTTAGCTGATACCAACAGCGTGCTGCATCTGGATGTTACTGGATGTCTTCTCCTTATGGGAATTGTGCAACAGAGGAAAGTAACGAAATATATTTACTCAAGAACTGTACTTAAAGGGGAGGTAAAGCCCTGATCTCATAGAAAGTGTTTTAGCAGCTGAAGGTGCTTTTTTGTAACTACTTTTAATGAAAATTAAGCTTTTTGTTCCCGGCTTATGCGTTGTGACATGCCTCAAGTTTCCACACTCTATGCGCCTGGTGTTTTTGCAGCAGCACTCTGAATTCCTTGAATTGAAAAAACTTCAACTCAGAGTGGAAAAACGCCTAACGTCAACTCTTTTTTTTGTATAATATGGAGTGTGGACTAGTAGCGCCTACTGGGCACTGCCAAGGTGCCCTTGAGCAAGGCACCAAACCCCCAACTGCTAGGGGCACCTGTCCAGGGCAAACTAGTGGTAGCAGTTGTAAACAAACAAACAAAAATGGTAGACTGATTACACGGGAAGGTTAGTGTAGAGACGTGATGGGATGCTGACCTGGCAACAATATAAACATATTTTTTTACTTGTGACATTCAATTTTCCAAAAAATGGCAGTGCGGTCACGGTGCGACTCGCCTTTTGCAACCTGCAAAAAGTTTTCTGTGTGATCAGGGGCCTAAAGCCATTTCAAAATTCATACAGTACAGGCCAGAAGTTTGGACACACCTTCTCATTCAATGCGTTTTCTTTATTTTCATGACTATTTACATTGTAGATTCTCACTGAAGGCATCAAAACTATGTATGAACACATGTGGAGTTATGTACTTAACAAAAAAAAGGTGAAATAACTGAAAACATGTTTTATATTCTAGTTTCTTCAAAATAGCCACCCTTTGCTCTGATTACTGCTTTGCACACTCTTGGCATTCTCTCAATGAGCTTCAAGAGGTAGTCACCTGAAATGGTTTTCCAACAGTCTTGAAGGAGTTCCCAGAGGTGTTTAGCACTTGTTGGCCCCTTTGCCTTCACTCTGCGGTCCAGCTCACCCCAAACCATCTTGATTGGGTTCAGGTCCGGTGACTGTGGAGGCCAGGTCATCTGCCGCAGCACTCCATCACTCTCCTTCTTGGTCAAATAGCCCTTACACAGACTGGAGGTGTGTTTGGGGTCATTGTCCTGTTGAAAAATAAATGATCGTCCAACTAAACGCAAACCGGATGGGATGGCATGTCGCTGCAGGATGCTGTGGTAGCCATGCTGGTTCAGTGTGCCTTCAATTTTGAATAAATCCCCAACAGTGTCACCAGCAAAACACCCCCACACCATCACACCTCCTCCTCCATGCTTCACAGAGGGAACCAGGCATGTGGAATCCATCCGTTCACCTTTTCTGCGTCTCACAAAGACACGGCGCTTGGAACCAAAGATCTCAAATTTGGACTCATCAGACCAAAGCACAGATTTCCACTGGTCTAATGTCCATTCCTTGTGTTTCTTGGCCCAAACAAATCTCTTCTGCTTGTTGCCTCTCCTTAGCAGTGGTTTCCTAGCAGCTATTTGACCATGAAGGCCTGATTGGCGCAGTCTCCTCTTAACAGTTGTTCTAGAGATGGGTCTGCTGCTAGAACTCTGTGTGGCATTCATCTGGTCTCTGATCTGAGCTGCTGTTAACTTGCGATTTCTGAGGCTGGTGACTCGGATGAACTTATCCTCAGAAGCAGAGGTGACTCTTGGTCTTCCTTTCCTGGGTCGGTCCTCATGTGTGCCAGTTTCGTTGTAGCGCTCGATGGTTTTTGCGACTCCACTTGGGGACACATTTAAAGTTTTTGCAATTTTCCGGACTGACTGACCTTCATTTCTTAAAGTAATGATGGCAACTCGTTTTTCTTTAGTTAGCTGATTGGTTCTTGCCATAATATGAATTTTAACAGTTGTCCAATAGGGCTGTCAGCTGTGTATTAACCTGACTTCTGCACAACACAACTGATGGTCCCAACCCCATTGATAAAGCAAGAAATTCCACTAATTAACCCTGATAAGGCACACCTGTGAAGTGGAAACCATTTCAGGTGACTACCTCTTGAAGCTCATCGAGAGAATGCCAAGAGTGTGCAAAGCAGTAATCAGAGCAAAGGGTGGCTATTTTGAAGAAACTAGAATATAAAACGTGTTTTCAGTTATTTCACCTTTTTTTGTTAAGTACATAACTCCACATGTGTTCATTCATAGTTTTGATGCCTTCAGTGAGAATCTACAATGTAAATAGTCATGAAAATAAAGAAAACGCATTGAATGAGAAGGTGTGTCCAAACTTTTGGCCTGTACTGTAAATCTCATTCCTATGGTCTAGGACAGTCCAAAAATATTAGTGAACATGAGCAACTCTTCCAAATGCTAAAACTAGAGTGCTTAAACTCTAATTTGTGATGTCATAGGGTATAAGGTCTCGAGCTGCTCCACCAATAATGACATGGGGAACAAGTTATAGATGACACTGACAGCAGCCAGGGGAATGTTCTGAGTATATGGATACATTTTCTGTGTCACAACTGAGAACACTAGGATAGAATAAAACTTGTGTCAAAAAGAAAACAGACATTCTGTGGATCCACAAAATCAGTCTCCCATTAATTGTCTATGGAGCAGCTCCAGACCTATACCCCGTGACATCACAAGACTTCCTTCTCTGGTTGCTGGCTTTGAGAGAGAGTAGCTCATGTTAGGTCATTCAAATATGTTATCATACTGGAATTCTTGATTTAGGTGGTGTTCCCATTTAAGTACAGTTTTTTTAGGTACTTGTACTTTTCCTAAGTTAGTGCTACTCAGTTCAGAGAGAACACTTAGTTTTTACTTACTCCACTACATTTATTTGACAACTTTAGTTACTCAGTTTAAGAGTGAAGGAAATGATCTGAGTACTTCTTCCACCACTGTAAACGTGACACAAAGCAGGGACACTCGCTCAACACATCATGCACGAGCTTCCTGTAACATTGGCAAAGCTGCCTTACCGACGAAAGTGTCGATATGTCGTCCCGTTCCTGGCTGTAGGTCCACGTATGCTCGGGGTTCCCCACGGTAATCTATCCATAGTGGTCGCACGACGCGGGGACTGAGGTTACGAAACACAGCTTTAATGGGTATTCGACTGTTGAGGGATCGAACCAGAGGAAGAGGCTGCTCTCCCTCCTGAGGCATTGGTGCTGCAAGCTAATTACTGTTAGCGCACTGGGATTAGCCGTTTAGCTAACACTAGCTAACAGCAAGCTAGCGAGATATTAATTTTAAGTTGCCTGCTGTCGACACGCGGACATCGTAGAATCAATTATCAGTGCTTCACTTGGTCTGTCTAATTATATTATATCGTTATAAAACGGACTACGAGTAAGTATTAAAGTCAGAGTGCTGCGGGAAGATCATCTGCTGTCACTTCTCAGTCGCCAACTATTTTGTTTACATTCTTACTTCCGGTTAAAAGTCCTGGGACGTCAAACTATTCTGCGCTGTGATTGGTCGAGAGGGATGACGACACCTCGGGCCCACAGAGGACGTGTTTTATGTTATCCTGTTTTGACTGACAGACTGAGAAGCAAGAAAAGTAATTACAACGGTTTATTAATATAGATATATTACAAAATAAATATATAATAATATATAAGCTCTTGACAAACAAACAAAGAGCAGGTTCCTTTGCAGCGAGACACTTAATATCACTGGATGATAGCGGTGTGAATTACTAGTAGCCTACAATTAATTAGCCTAAGTGTTGTATGATGTAAGGTAGCTGTACTCTATTGGAGTTTTTCCATTTTTTGCTACTTAATACTTTTACTCCACTAGTCCATATTTCAGAAGCATATACTCAGTGGAGGATTGTAACAAAGTAGCCTACTCTAGGTCTACTTAAATACAATTTGGACACACTTTTACTTTATTTGAGTATTTCTATTTTATGCAACTCTCTGATTCCACTCCACTACATTTGAGAGACAAATTTTGAACTCTTCACTCTTCAACAGTCACCTGACAGCTTTTGGTAGTTATTTTTTATATATAAAGTTGTATACTTGTATAGGTATATGAATCTAAAATTGACTCCACATTGACCAACTACAACTGTAGTAAAGATTCCTATTTTCTTTATCTTGACACTTCTTTTCCTCACTTACCTCACTTCTTTTACATCACTTCCTTTCCTTGCCTCTCCTCAGTACCAGTTAGTTCCTTTTACTTTTTATTCACTCATTAACCTCACTGAATTTATCTTCTCAGTCCTATTTAAACCCTGAACACCATCTCACTTATTCTTTCTTCACTGTCACATTGGGTAGCAGTGCTGGTAAGCAGTTTATTTATCTTTAGTTTATATGTTACTAGTTTAATTTAGAGCATTATTTATCCTTATTAAGATGGACATTTAATTTGACTGAAGTTCTAATCTTGTATTTGTTTCTTGCAGATTCAAACCCATGTGTGTTTGCTCTCCTCTTTGTTTAACTGCAATTTGAGTTTTGGAAATAAACCTTTGTGTGCAAAGAGTTTCAGTGACTGATACATTGTGACCAACAACATTAAAATACTCTTGTGTTTGTTGGTCATAAAAACAGAATAATGTAATTTTCTATCATAATAAAACACTGTGACCCATTCTGCATAATGAGTACTTTTTCTTTTGATGCTTTGAGTATATTTTGATGCTGACACTTTTGTGCTTTTACTTCAGCCACACTTTGAATTCAGGACTTTTACTTACAATGAAGTATTTTCAGGCTGTATTTACTTCTTAAAGAGTATAAACACTTCTCCCAGTCCTGCATATACTGCATTTTCACTCTTGTAGAGAAAATCGGTGCCTGGAAGTGGGCCAGATGGCTCCCAACCTTGTCTTCTACTTCCCCTTGCAGATCGTCCTCTGAGTTGACTTAGTATCTTAGGTTCAGTTGGCTGACACTTAGAGAAACACTGGAGTCAAATAGAATCTGGTGCAATCGAGTTTAATGTGTTCACAGGCTTCAACACATACAGCTCATTGAGTCAGGCTCCAGAGCAAGACTGAAGTTTCACTTTCTGCGCTCTCCCTTTTATGCTGGTGAAGATTCGAGAGAATCTCCACCCTTTTCCTTTAGTCCATCCTACCTGCATTTTAATCTATTGGTGGCAGGTCTTTTCTTTTTAGCCCTTTTCCATCTGGTCCAAATCTATTGGTGGCGGGCCCCTTGGGCCCTTATCCACACATGACCTAATGGTGTAATCCCTGGGCCTGGAAATCCCCAAATTCTCCCACCATTAGATTCGAGCCTGGTTTCACTTTATTTTTTAAAAACATATGAAACCTGGGGATTTTCTCTATACAATCCCCTGTGCCTTCATGCAATGTGTCCTAGAGTGTGTGTCATGCAATACAAACGTTAAAGTGTGTGTGTGTTATTATTAAACAGTACATGATGTGGTATATGTGTGCTCTTCAATGTGAACCTTGTGTTATGAATACATAGACTTGTATAACAGTGTTTTATCACACATAGATGCATAACAAACAGTTTTATAGGAACTTATACATAAAACATTGTTATATGAACTTTTACTTTTAATCAACTTATGCAGTATAACACCTTTACCTGATTAAAGATTAAATCTTACACTACACTCCACTACATTTACTTCTCTACAGTCAATGATTGTACATATGATTTGGATTTTTAAATATGAATGAAAATAAGATTAATCTCAACAGTACATAAAGTGTTTAAAATGTCTCCACCTCTTTCAGCTACAACATTAAAATGCTGCTTACACATGTATGCATCCCTGATATTAACCCAATATACTAATACAATGTGTAAGAATAATCACCTCAGCGTCTATTAATTAGCTGTTCAGGAGCTTTCAGTCACCTCTATAAGAACTCTTATGAGCACAAACACAATGAGCACAATTACAGGCTTTAATGTCATTATTTTTTCCACCCGTAAAGAATAATAAGACGTATTTGCCTGGTAATCACAGTGCTGTATGAGTCTGAGCTCCACCCAGTTTCATCCTCACATAAAACACAAGGGCACAGCTGTGTACGACCTCCTCCTCCCAGGAGATTATTCCCAACCTGATCTCCACAGCAGCACCAATTCACCCCCGGCAATATTTGAAAAACATCTAAAAAGGTAGGTAGAAATACTTGCTTTTACAAACCTTGCTGGCTACTGTATTAGCAAACTAAACTTTTCTTTAGAATAAAAAGTGGTCAAATTCACAGTTATTATGTGAGAGACACTGCTAAATTTTTCAGAATAATTTGTTGTTGGAAAAAAATACGATTCAACTGCACTATCTGTTCTTTTATTCCCCAACAGACTGTTTCTCGGCCAGTTGACCCAAACACAATGTGTGTTAACGACAGTAACTCTTTGGTGGATGCGGAGGATGTGTCGAGGGATGAGAGTCTGGCCAAGCTGGAGATCGCGCTGCTCAGTGCCATCTTCATCAGCGCCGCCATCCTCAACACCTCCCTGCTGCTCGTCCTCTGGAGACAGCGCAAACAGATGTCCAGGATGCGCGTCTTCGTCTTCCACCTGTGCCTGGCGGATCTGGTGGTCGCCTTCTTCCAGGTGTGTCCGCAGCTCATGTGGGACATCACAGACAGATTCGTGGGACCGGACCTGGTGTGCCGCCTGGTGAAGTACCTCCAAGTTCTCGGCATGTTCTCATCCACATACATGATCGTGGTGATGACAGTGGACAGGTACCAAGCTGTCTGCAACCCGATGGTGAAGTTCCAGCGGACGAGCACAAGGCTCAACATCCCCGTGTGCGTGGCGTGGGGGATTTCTCTGCTGGGCAGCTTGCCACAGATTTTTATTTTCTCACAGGTTGAGGTGGCGCCAGGTGTGTTTGACTGCTGGGCCAACTTTATCCAACCGTGGGGGCTGCAGACCTACGTCACCTGGACCACTCTGGTCATTTTTGTTTTACCCGTCATTGTGGTTGCTTTTTGTCAAATGCGCATCTGCCGAGCCATCCAGATCAACCTGTACCAAAAGACCAAACAGCAGAGCAACGCTGGTCTCCCTGTGCCATCCAGAGCCAGCGGTGTGGCCGGGATGTCCAAAGCCAGGGTGAAGACGCTGAAGATGACGGTGGTTATCGTGTTGGCGTATATCGTCTGCTGGGCGCCCTTCTTCACTGTCCAGCTTTGGTCCGCCTGGGACACAAACGCGCCAAAAGAAAGTAAGTTGTTCAGTATTTTTGACTGATGCTTATAACTATTTTTATTATTGTGCATCTAATTTGGATTTCCTTTCTAAATACGTGATCAGTAACTGAGAAGTGCGCATTTACGCACAAAGCCAGATGATAGTCAGAGGTGGCAAAGGACACTTCTTTGCAAACACACAAGGGCGTAGGTTTTGTTTTAACATTTTAACATTATTTTTATTGTTTGTTTGCTAAATTGTTTATTTGTGTTGATTTCTCCTTGATCTTGTTAGAATAAATTCGTTTTACGCACCCACCTGTGCCTTATCTGCATCACTTTATAGTATAAATGTCTTTGTTATTGTCAGAAAAATCACGTCCATGCTTTCATATTCTTATTTGAGGGACACAAATGCACATGTTCCAAATATTGATGGGGATGTGTCCCTGTGCCCCTGCAATCTACACCTATGCAAACATATGACGCTTTGCTCTTCTCCTGTCTTTCCAGCTGCGACCTTCACCATCCTGATGTTGCTGGCCAGTCTGAACAGCTGCGCAAATCCCTGCATCTACCTCCTGTTCAGCGGCCAGTTTCCCAAGAGGCTGGTGACGCTCCTGTGCCGTCGGCTGTCTGACGGGAAGAATTCAATACACGAAGAGGCAACGCAGGTCAGCACTTTGTACATGAGCTTCAAAAATGTCTCTGAGTCCAAATGAAGGCAACGCCTCACAATGTGGAAACGTGAAAAGGCTGTGGGTACGCCTGGCGCAGCAGCCTGTGAGCGCTCTGTGCATGTGAATGACTGTTTGTTCTGAACAGGAAACATGGAGATAAGACGTACTGTAACGTGAAAATATGGTATGCCATGGAAGCGTTAAAAGAAATCCTGACATGGGTGAGCATGAGGCAGAGCTGCGCTCCAGATGTTATCAGATGTTGACGGATGACAGACGCAGGTGGTGCTTTGTTGGACTGTAGGGCCAGTGCTTTTTGGGAAAGAGAAGAATCAGTGTATGGACTCTGTACAGAACTGATCATGTTATGACTGTGACAGCTTTGATGATAAATAAAAAAATATTTCATTTAATGAGCCTAGAAGCTGCTGCCTTCAAGAACACTTTTCAGACAGATTCATGGATTGAAAATCATGCTGGTGAGGATGAAGAGGAACATAAGAACCCACAATACAACTGCAGCTGCATAGTAGATTTGAGGTGGGACAAAGGGGACATGTCCCCCTGCAACAGAACCTGTTGATTTGTTGTACTTTTATTTCTAACAAAATTAATTTACACCATGAACTGATGCAGAAAATGAACAAACTGGGGCAGAAAATCACTAGAATGCAACAAATTCAGTGTTTGGTGCTCAAAATTTTCTGACAGACGACCCCAAAACACCCTCTTACAAATGGGTCCTCCAAATGTTGAAATAAAACCTGCACCCTTGTGCAGTTGTATTGCTATTTTGTGAAGCGGAAAACTGCAAAATTCACAAAAATATTCAACAATATTATACTACAATCCCTTGAGTTAAGCTCAGAGATCTTACATGATGATATATACACTATTTTCCAAAGGGTAAGCTATCACATGGAGCGAAGGCAAGAACAATTGTGTTTTCATGAAGATACAAACACGTTGTTTAAATCATGAAATGCAATTTGTGCCTGCCTCCAAAAATCAAAACAAATCAAAAACTGTTGTAACATAAATGTATATAAAGATTGTGAAACAAATCTGTCACGTCTATAAATGTTCTGTGTGGTGAATAACTGTTGTAAAATCACACACTGACTGTGTTTGTAAAATATTGTTCAGGCTGTAACCAACTACAGACAACTCGTGTAGAATAAAGTCATATTCTCACAACTGTTTTGAGTTTTTGCTCGTGTGCAAGTACACATCATGTACAATATGTATTTTAAAATCCACTTTAAACAAAATCAGAGTATTATTACAATCAAAAGAGAACATTAAATTAAAAGGGAGTTTGCAGGGAGCCACTTGAGATTAACTTGACCCATTTAGATGAATCCTCACTTACACAAGTGTCACAATATCTTTTTTCCATCTAGGTTACAATTGATAATACTGAACAAATATTAGCCAGATTCAAACCTGGTGCATGTCAGACGTGGCATGTACATGATCTGCTGGTCAATAGAGGGATTTTTCACACTGAAGGAATAGCATACCAAAGGGCTGACAACCTGAAAATTTCACATATGCGCACACACACACACACACACACACACACACAAGGAAGGTGACCCATTTATTTTCACTGCACCAAGGTAAGTAGTGGTGGATGAAGTATTCAGATCCTTTATTTATGTAACAATACTAACACAAAACTGCAAAAATACTCTGTTACAAATGTATGCATCCATACACTGAAAATGATACTAAAGTAAAAGTATATCAGAATAATCAGGAAAGAAAGGTACCTTAGTAATAAAAATGCTCAGTAGAGAAAAATTTGATTAAATAAATAAAATTATCTATCTATCTATCTATAACTGCAGTGGAGTAAAAAGCAGTGACGTACACATACCTCACATTTGTACTCACACAATAAGCCATTATTTCCTTTCACCAATAGAAACCAATTACCCCATCATTAGATCAGACTGACTGCAGGTCATTAGTGTCCACTGTTAAAAGGTTTTTGTCACTGTCTCTGTAGCATTCTTATTGTCATGTGTCACCGGACTTGTTTTCTGAAAGGATTCTGCAGCATCTTTATGATTATCAGTGACAACATGCCCAAATAATGAGCAGAACACTGTGGCAACATGTTGTGCACGTGTATTGGAGGAATGTTGTCACCAGATGTTCTGTGCCCTCCTGCTGGTGAGGAATCCTTTTGGCTCTCAGAGCTCTTGGTCGCTTTGAGCCCTGGAGGCGTAAAAACTGAGTTGCTTGAGGACACGTCAGGGACGAGGTTTGCCAATGAGAGGGCTTTAATCAATATTCTCCTGTTAAAGAGAAAACTACATTACCCATCATTTGGTCTCACTGCCAACATCATGGTGAATGGACTTGCATTTGTATAGTCCCTTTCTAGTCCTCCATTCACTCAGTGAGCTTTCACACTACGTCTCACATTCACCCTTCACACGCACATTCATACAGCGGTGGCCAAGGCCACCATACAAGGTGCCATCTGCTACTCAGTTAAACATTCACAATGTTGTATTGACACAATACAATTTGAATTATGCTGTCATCACGAGCAAGGATACCTCTACATGCAGACTGGAGCAGCCATGAATAAAATTGCTGATATTTAATAAATAATCTGCTCTCCTGAGCCAGAGCTGCCCAACTCACTGCCATCATTGTGAATGTGCCTCCTGTTGCAGTATCACTGAAGTGCTGTACTCTTATAATAAAATGAAGTCATGCTCTAGCAAAGACACTTCTCACAATAAGTGTAAGGAAATACAGTATGAGAACTTTATAACCATTGAGAGCTACTCCATGTCTGATGATCTGAGTGGTTTGACATGGCTGTGGTAAAAATGTCGGATAAGAACCATACAGGTGGAATGCATCTTGTTTCGACAATATATCAATTATATGTTTATAATTAGGACCATAGTTAAAGGTCCTCATTATAACATAGCATAACAAAAGAAGACTTTATGGCAGAGCAGATGGGTTGCATTAGACTGCAAAGTAGATGTTATATTAAATGTATGCGCTACAAGTCACTCCACTTATCAAACAGAAATCACTGGAGGCAGCTTGCGACGTGAACATTTGCTGCTTTTCTGTGATTTCTAGTGACAACACAAGAAAAGCACTTTGAGGCGCTCACCTTGGGCTCTGGGAAATTGTATTGAGCATCATTTTCCTGACAGAATGCATCAAAAACACGTTACAGAAACAGCTCCTTCCTAAAGCAAGGAAGTTTCCTAAAGAGAAGCAGGGAGACAGAACAACTGCTAAAGCCACAAAACAAGTCAGGAGTATTTTAGGGATGAGGCTGAAGTGGTGGTGAGGTACGAGGAGTCACGTGTTGCACGTCCTAATGTTGCCCAGATCATTATTACTACTAATGCTCCTCTCTGAGGGACCCTCACGTGGACGACATGGCTCTTCTCCCACTCAGACTCATTAGACCCTCACTGTGCTGGCATACAAATGATCCTCGGTCCACGTGTATCTGCACGTTGGAATAATACACTGCTAACTAAAGAAATTAATAAACTCATTATATGCAGAAACATCAAAGTACACACACACACACACACACAGCGAGGACACATGTCCATTTGACTGTAGATGTGAAGATACATTAACTCTGGCAGGACATCATACGGCCTTCTACCTGTTTGTTTGGGCTCAATTCATCATCTCAGCAGGGTCCGTGGCTTTACACACCCACATGTCCACACACATACAGACACACAAACACACGTGTTGTCTTAACTGTCAAACTGATGCCTCCTGATCATCTTCCTGCTTTGGATTTTCTGGTGAAACGTAGAAATGAGGAAACAGTCACAGGATAACTGCATGTTTATTTGACTCTGTGGTACACCAATTGTCATGGAAAAACAAGCAAAAGCCTTCTTTGGAAACAGGCCATTGATTTGTTAATTGAAGCATCCATTTTATTGTCGAGGGTGAAAAAAAAAAAGAGTCTGACAGCCTGGCGAACACTGAATCAGTGATATGACTGATAATTTTAAGGATCTTAGATATGACCTGTTATTCCCTGGGTGAAAACCTTTCCTTTATCAAACAAAGTGATATGAAACTCTTGAAGGGTCTGACAGAGAATTCTAAATAAGATTTAAAATGAGAATGTAGTTAAAAAAAAAAAAAAAAAAAAAAAAAAAGGGGCACATTTTTGAGAAACTTTACCTTTTCTGATCCTTAAAGGGGAACTCCACTGATTTTACACATTAACGTCTGTTAACAAGTCTTGCGGAGCACAACTGCAAGTGTGAAACTAGAATTACCAACTCAAGGGTTGTATGGCAGTCAAGTTGCTGTTAAGTTTACATCCATGCTTTACACTGATTATAGTCACTAATTCAGTATCTGTCCAAATGTCTCTGCTTCTGTTTCTAAGTTAAGGTGATGAGTAATGACCAGAAAAGAGTTTTTGCAGAACATAATGATGTCAGAGTAAAGTAGACCCTTGACGTTTTGGATATAGAATGTCATCACTTAATTATTTTATTCTATTAAATATGTGAAACTGAATTGAATAATTGATTAATTCTTGAGTTATAGCAAAAACCATGTTCTGTGAGGTCACAGTGACCTTTGACCATCAAATTCTAGTCAGGTCATTGATGAGTCCAAGTAGATATTATTGCCAAATTTGGAGAAGTTCCCTCAAGGCGTTCTTGAGTTATTGCCTTCAGGAGAATGAGATACACGTATGTACAGGCGACCACGGCTATCGCTGGTGCAGACGCATAAAAAGATCTTAGGGTGTGGAGTTCTATAAAGTGAGCTTACCAGATCTCTGTAGCCTGCACCTCATCTCTGCTTGAGGCTAGCAGCTCAAGGCAACATTAGCCGCTACTAACATAACACACCTGAATCTCAGACCAAATTGTCAGCGATTGAGTTGCATTGTGGGTAATCTAGGCAGCAGGTTTTCACAAGAAAGAAGATTGCATCGACTGAAAAGGACAATATCTTTACTTGTGCTGCATCGATTTTCACTTTTAAAAATGTTAAAGGTATACTATGCAAGATAGTCGACTACTTTTGTAAACACACTGGCTAGAGAAAGTAAAAGCCGACCCCAGATTGACTTTTGTTTGGCATTTCACCTCGCTATATACGTTGTTGTGCGATGGTGCTTTGTCTCTTGGATGCCTGCTGCTTACGATCTGGCATCTGGTTGCTACTTCTTTCTAAAGCCCCAACCTCACCTGAGCACTGTGGAGGTACACACCCATAAACATCCTGGACAAAGAAAATAATAAAAGCCAGGCAGAGGGCAGAGTCTCTGCAGAAAAATGAGCCCCCACACATTTCTACTGGGTCATAAGTGATGATTGAGAGGGATTACTTCTCTATGAGTCTATACACTGTTTTAGGGAAATCCTGCATAGCATATCTTTAACTGTCCATCTTGAGTCCAACAGTGCTATAGGAACGCAATGTTAAATCTGCGGAGTTCTTCTTTAAGGGAAGACTAAAAGAATATTAAAAGATTCATTCAAACAAACTCTGCATGAAACCAAAAAGTCAAGTTATTCTCCCACTGACTGTCGACACAACTCAGAACTGTACATCCATTAAGACATCATGCTCAGGCCGTAAAAACAAGATGTACTTAAATTGAAAGCCATCGCCCTTTAAAGAGTAGTTATGACATTTTGATAATTATGCCAACTTGCTTTAAAGGGGAACACCACCTACATTAAGAATTCCAATATGTCATTTCCATGGCCTGGGAAAGATCAATCGATATTTGTGAACATGAGCTGCTCTCGCTCAAAGCCAGAAATAACATAAGTCTCAAACTTGTGATGTCATTAAGTATAAAGTCTGGAGCTGCTCCACAGACAATAAGTACACTGAGATTCACTATATTGCAATATCCAATTTCTGCCCTTATTCCAAAACAGACAATGTTCGCTCTAATGGCTAATGAAAATGAATATTCCACTAATATTCCTGTTTACATGCAGCCTTGCAGACTCAAGATTAAGATGCTCTATCATGTCATTGGTCATGTCAAAATATAGAAAAGTGGAACCCATGGAGCCTCTTGAGCCATTTGGCTTCTTTGCATCAACATTGGATTTTGAATTGGACTGGATTGTCAACCAGTGGTGGACTTGATAGACTGTGTAACACCTTCTTTCATTCCATCGGCAAACTTCTTCAAAAGATTGCAATGGCAATATTGGCGAATACCCAAAAACCTATTGTTATCTAAGTCTTTCATAATATTTAAAGACAAGGTGTGCTTCTCCTTACGATCAGAAACTTTCTGTCATGCATCTTCACCACACAGCTTTTCAAACTGTTGGCGAGTTGTGTACAACACATCCATGACAATGCACAGAGCTGACCGTACACAGGCAGCAAGGCTGTGTGTCACAAACCGCGGTTAAGACCCCAACTGAGATACATAGCCTGAATGTGTGGTATACATGTTCAAAGAATGCTCCTTAAAGCCAAATAATATTGACATATCCCACTTGTCTTTTGAGAAGAATGCTTCATTTGGAATAAGGCCTTTTCAGAATATCCAAAAGAGAATATGCTGTTTGCATGAACCCTATCAAATTCAGAATACTGTCATATTTGGGATAATAGGGGAATACTAGTGAGCATGTAAATGTATCCAATGAATGGGAGTCTGATTTTGTGGACCTGCAGAATCTTTGTTTTTATTTTTGTACCCAAACGAGCTTTATTGTATTGTTGTGTTCTAAGTTCTGAATCAGAACATTCCCCAGACTGCTCCCAGTGTCACCTCGAACATATGTCCCAATATATTGTCCATGGAGCAGCTCCAGACTTTGCACTTGATTAAGTTTTAGTACTCTAGTTTTTGAATTTGGTAGAGTTGTTCATGATCACTAATATTTTTGGACTGTCTTAGACTTTAGGAATAACATGAGTTTTTATTATTACTATTATCATTTTTGGGGCATTTTGCCTTTACTTGGACAGCAAAGGTGGGAGAGAGAATGGGGATGACACTCAGCAAAGGGCTGTGAGTCTGAATCGAACCCCGGTCACTGTAAAGGACCCAGCCCACATGAGGCGAACACTCCACCAGGTGAGCCAGAGGTCCTCCCACATGAGTGAATTTTGAAAATGGCTGTTGTTGCCCTTTAATGTTAACAACTATGTGACAAAATCTGGATGCCACTTTTAAGTCTGTACAGAATATATGAAGCTACAGCAGCAGCTACCAGCACCTCTAAAGCTCACTGATGAACACGCAATATCTCACTGGCTCAATCTGTAAAAATAATAATAATAAATGAATAAATGAAGGGTAAAAAACTGGGATAAGTCATGTCATCTCTGCATCCAGGAAATAGCCATAACCTCCGTGAAACCATAAACTGTCATTCTTACATTTCAGTTTCTTATGAAATAAAAGAATAATGTGTTAATTAGTTAAACGTAGGGGTGCTGGTAGGTAAGTTATGTCAACTCTGGACAAAGCAAGGCAGCTGTTTGCCTGTGTTTCCAGTTTATATGCTTAGCTAAGCTAACCAGCTGCTGCTAGTAGTTTAATATTTATACTACAGACATGACAGTGGTATAAATCTTCTCCTGTAAATCTCTGCAAAAAAAGCAAAATTTCAATCTATTCCTTTATGAAATTATCCAAAAACATTAAATTTGACTGACCAACATCTTCACAATCTAGATGATTCCTTATTGTGATCAATGACTTTGTGACTGATGAAAGATCAATTCCTAACAACTCTTTGTGACATGAAGAGAAATGCGAAATAAGAGTCAGATTCTACCAGCAGCAGAACACCAGTTATATGTGACAACAAATGCTTTAACTGCCTCTTATTTACAGCTACATTTATACAAACGTGAGCCAGCACCTTGCAACAAAATCGCAAGAAGTAAAATCCCGAAAACTGCGACACTACAAACCAAAAAAAAAGAAGAAAAAATCTAACTAAAAACTAAAAACAAATTTTAATTAAATCTTTATCTGTTCATCACTTTCACCATTTAAAGTCTTTCATTCACGTCTGTGGTTCACCGGTTCATCAAACTTATCAAAAGACACTGAGCTGGGGCGTAGGCACACCATTTTAACACGCCACACAACATGAACAAACTAAATGAAGACAGTAAATGCTCCTCTCACTCTCTGGGATAATTAGCTTCAACCTTTTTAAATAACAGTCCTCCATTAGGCACCGAGACATCTCTAATTTCCACTTGCTTGTTTTTCTGAAGCACATCCTCTGACAGGACAATGAGCCTCAGTCGAGAACAAAACAGACACTGATTATATCATGTATATTACACATTGTTGTTATCGTCACCTCAGTTTTTTGTTTATTGCATAAAAAACTGGTGTGATAATAAAAAGCACACATGGATGAGTCTGTTAAATTACTTTCCAATCTTCTTCTCCCATACAAAAATACATCCAATTTAATCCCAAGATTCAAAACATCCCCGTTAGTGACAGATCTACACGTCCAACATGAGTGCACTCTCGTTCCCTCCACTGACCTACAGCATCTTAACAACATGACTGATAATAAACATATCTGAGAAACCCACAAAGGATCTGAATGCAAGGTGAATTTATATGAACTGGTTGGTTTTACAACAGATTAAAGTAGGTGACTCTGCCTGCTTCTCAACTGCATGCAGTCAGACTCTCTGTCACACTGAGGAGAGGAGCTGAAGGGAAGCATTAAGCTTTTAGTGTCTGTGTGTGTCTGCAGGTACCAAGGAATCAGCTGGACAGGGGTGCGGATCAGCCTGCTGCATGCTAGGATGCTACAACGTGTCATGGACTCAATCTGTAAGATCTGTTGTTTCTCACTTTATCCCGATGCTCCGAGTCGTCGCCCTGCTGCCTTCACTTCTCAACAACCTTTAAGAACAATCAACACCTCCATCCTGCTGTATTTGCTCTTTGAGTGCCATTTAAAGGCCGACTGACCTTTCCACTAATATGATGGATTTACAGCCAAGGGTGACAGCTGGAGTGTGATGCATTGATTACTAAATGTAATCGCAGCAAGAGAGTGCAGGAAGATCCAGGCTTGGGGGGTTCGCAGGTTGCTGTTTTTTTTGTTTTTTTTTTAACAATAAATGATGGTCTGACATCACAGGCAGAACAGGCGAGAGCCCTCTCTTCCCTCCTCCCCCTCGCCCCGGGGGATACGGGGGAGCATAGCTGAACGGGTCAGACCCCAGAAACGAGGTGGAGACAAGTCCTTCTTGGTGGCTGTGAACTTCCAACCCATATGAGACCCGCAGGTTCGGCACTGAGCAATTGTCCAGGCGTACCTGAGAGCGAAGAGAGAGGACAACATTTTATTAAGGGAATATTTCATCCCCCAAATAACCACCTGTATATCAATTACTCATCCTGTTTAACACTGAATTTATGATCTTTTTTGCATTCCTCTTGATGAATTAAAGTCATAGAGGACCACGGTTAACAACAGCAAAACTGTAAAGCAAAACATCTCTTGACAAACTCTCACACAAGTCTCATTTATCGAGACGTACTTGAAACTTATCTCCGCTCTCTTCAACTCCACTGACAAAAACAGTAATTTTACCTTGCTGAACACAGGAGTTGTTGGTCTACAGCTGCCTCGATCAGTCAGCTTGTGTTATTGTGTGACTTTAATGAATCAGAACTGATCCTTTAAACACCAAATTCATACAGCGTTAGACCAGGAGCTCCTGTGTTCAGCAAGGTAACGTTAGAGTTTTTGTCAATGGAGTCTGGCTTTGAAGACAGCAAAGATATGTTTCATTTTCAGTTTAGTTTGAAATAGTGCTGACAATGCATGTGTTTGTGAAGCACTGAGCAAATGACTGGATAAAAGAGACTTAAACTGCACCAGTTGTAACTCATGTAAACACGGACCCTTGTGACTTAAATTCATCAAGAATTTAATCTGTTTTTGAATTCTTAGCTCCTCATGGAGCGTTGAGCTCTTCTTCACAAATTCAATGTAATACAGGATGAGTAGCTGTCATACAAATGATCATTTCAGGGGGTTATATCTTGAAGACACCTAGTATAATGGGTTAGAGGCATGTCTCACATTTATGACAACATTGAGAGGCACAGACGGCTCTGAGTCGATCTACTGTGTGTATCATGTGCTGTATCATTCACTTGTCTGAGGGAGGAGCGTGAGCTCAAAAGTTACCCTGGAAACCAGCTGTGCAGTGTAGATGGCCTGCCGACCAGGTTGAGGTTGTTGGCTTTGTAGACAGTCAGGGTTTCATGGACGTAGCCATGAGGGTTGACATATGCAGCCATGGGGCCATACAGAGACAAGCTGCAGGGAGAGGAGAGGCAGAGGAAATACGTCATCAGCAGCAGCGATTATGATCAAATGGTTCATCCAAATAACAAAACGTCAGAATGGTCCTTTTAAAGAAAGAATAAAACAGAAAGAAAACTGATTTGAAACTCAATACGAGATACAAACAGAGTCAAACTGTCTAAAGGGGGTTTAAATTTTTTTACCACTTGGACCCTTTTTTGTTGGACCCATGGTTTGGTATCTAAGGGGGCATTCACACCAGGATAGTCCGGGGAACTTGGTTGGCTTGGAGAGAATGCCAAAAAATTTCACACCTTCATTTGGTACGGTTCACTTTCACACAGCACTTTTTAAAGCAGACCAAACTACCTGGACAATTATGGAGCTACATTAGGGTCAAATGTTTTGTACTTGAAAAAATAAAATTTGAAACTGAAAATTCATGTGTTGATCTTGAATTTTGAAAAATACAAAAATGTATTCAAAATAAAAATAAGTGTATGAAATGTTTTTTCAGGTTAAATATAATTTTGATTCACTTTGGTAATTCTTTTGAATGAATAATTTATTTTCACTTTTCACTTACATATATATTTTAACATTTGAGGTCTTATTTTTTTCAGTTGCATGTTTTATCTTTTCAGATTCAGATCTTATTTTTTACAGTTTCAAATCTTATTTTTTCACTTTCAAATCTTTTTTTCACTTTCAGATCTTTTTTTTCAGTTTCAAATCTGTTTTTTGAGTTTCAGACTTTTGACCCTGATGTGGCATGGGGGACGTGGCATCAACTGAGAGGGGTGTAGAATCATGAGTGACAGTGCCTTAAGGTAACGTAGGAACTAAAAAAATTCTGACTCAACACTTATATACACCATATTCATGTGACTGGCAGTGTAGAAATAGATGCCAGTGACAAACTTCCATTTAGAAATCTGTTTTAGACAGTACTGAGCACCAATTGAGGTGTAAGAACGATAAATTATGCCAGATTTTGCAGTTCAACAGCCACATTTTAAGTGCTGGTATGTCCGATTTCCACATAGCACTGTGAACACAGCGTAGTGTCCACTTTGCTTGCGATGATGGCGTCCGGTCGATCGGGTCAATCTGCTGGAGCCCATACATCCAGCACACAGGCGAGAAAGTTTGTCACTGGCATCAATTTTTACACTGCCAGTCACATGAATATGGTGTATATAAGTGTTGAGTCAGAATTTTTTTAGCTCCTACGTTCCCTGAAGGCACTGTCACTCATGATTCAACACCCCTCTCAGTTGATGCCACGCCCCCCACGCCACATCAGGGTCAAAAGTCTGAAACTCAAAAAACAGATTTGAAACTGAAAAAAAAAAAAGATCTGAAAGTGAAAAAAAGATTTGAAAGTGAAAAAATAAGATTTGAAACTGTAAAAAATAAGATCTGAATCTGAAAAGACAAAACATGCAACTGAAAAAAAAAAGACCTCAAATGTTAAAATATATATGGAAGTGAAAAGTAAAAATAAATTATTCATTCAAAAGAATTACCAAAGTGAATCAAAATTATATTCAACCTGAAAAAACATTTCATATACTTATTTTTATTTTGAATACATTGTTGTATTTTTCAAAATTCAAGATCAACACATAAATTTTCAGTTTCAAATTTTATTTTTTCAAGTACAAAACATTTGACCCTAATGTAGCTCCACAGACAATGTCACGCAGTAACAACAGCTGCTCATTTGGGGGCAGTACTGCCCGAAACAACCACTGACCAGGAAGAAAGAAAGCATGAGGAAGAAGAAACCCCAGCTCATTGATTGGCCAGGACTGAAAATGGAAACCCATCCCTTTCAGCCGGCTTGGTCACGAGCAAAAACACAAAATACCAAAATGCACTGCGCTCTATGTCACTTCCTCTCTTTGGTTCGCTGGGTAGTCCGTTTGCATTTCCCACTGTAAGCGAACCGCACCAGGGCTCACTTGCAAGTGAACCGAGACCCCCAGCTTTCAAGCGGACCAGGGTTCGCTCATTTGGTCGGCACCAGAGTTTGAATGAGCGTTCACACCACTCCTAACAAACCGAACTATCCATGGAAGCAGACCAGGGTTCATTCAAAGCAGACCAAATAGCCACAGTGTGAATGTGTCCTAAGAGACTAATGGGAGCAGCAACTTTAGAAATTGGTCCTGTATTGAGTGAGAGAGCTGTAGCTAGCAGCTGCAAAATAAGTTGCAATGTAACCACTGTGTGCACAGTCAGTTTACATCCCCTTTAAGTGCTTGTTTTCAATCACTGACAGGCTCAGATTATTGTTTTAATTGTCTGACAATTAGAGAGAGGATTTTTTTTTTAACTTTTTGAATAAGTGTAAGACCTTTTTTGTTTAGACCAGACTCCACTGAAATTAACAATACAGTAAACATCATTTTAATGTGTACAGAGCCAGCATATTTTCACATCTAACTGGGTGAATTAAGTGTTTATTTCAACTAAACCAGAGTTGGTGATTGGTGGAACAGTGGAAAGTCGAACCAAGACGGATTTTTGCGAGTTTTGTTTGGTTTTTGAAATGTGTTTTATGGTGATGAAATGATTGTTTCTTTAACTGGAGTCTGGTTACTTTGGCGATAGCAACTTTGGGGCAGTTTCTGGTTGACTCTTGAACAAAAGGACCCTTTCCATAATATTGTCAGACACTTAGAATAATAATCTGAGCAAATAAGCCCTTTTAGTGGACGTAAATTGGCGGTGGTAAATGCCCTGAGTGGTTACATTGCAGCCTGTTTCTCAGCTGCTGACTGCAGAGCTCTCGCCCAATACAACTGTTTCATACATTGTTGTTCCCATCAGTCACTCAGACACAAATACATGGGAAAGTAGGTCCCAGGTTGAAAACTAACCCAACAGTGAGTCCATCACAACAAACTCACATCAAACTCAAATCCAGAAACCTTAAAGATACCACGTACTGTGCATCAAGGTGGATTCTCTGCACAAAATGTGTATAATGTAAACTAAGTGTAAAAAATGTTCTAACAGTACAGTGATGGCCACTCTGGATGGAAACTCTATATTTCAGAAAGAGTGTAGAATTTATTGAAAATCAGCACAGTGTGGAAATGCTTTTTGAGGTGGTGAGCTTGTTGAGAGGTCTCTGATTCACCATATTTTTTTTTATTTAGTTTTAAACAACTTGAGGCTCCACACATCATAGCGTAATTTCATCAGCAGCTCGAAACGAGTCTGGTGCTTTCTTGGTGCGGCCATTATGGAAATACAATACAGAATATACAAAGCTACGACCTGAGGATGGAAAATGTTGTTTCCAATCTTCAGTTCTACAATTATTTTTCTCCACAGGTCCTTGCAGACAATAAAAGAGAGACACATTTTGAGGCAATTTATCAAGTAGAAATTTACTGTACTCCTGTTCTGCTTTAGCTCTCTGATTGAAAATGCATTACGTACGTAGCGTTGTTAGCTGAGGAAGTGTGTAACCTTAAAAAAAAACCCATATTAAAACACATCTTTCATTTGCCGTTTATCTGGATGAACAGTTAATGCACTTTTCCTATAAACGCAGAGTGAGGATCTGGACAGTTACATTTGTGTTAGAGGCTCTGTGTGTGACTTCTGGAAAAATACCTTAGCCATCACACATCATAGTTAGTTATAAAAGTACATTACATAACAGTGTGTGTGTGTGTGTGCTTTCAGACTGCGAGTCTGCAGACGAAGTGCAGGGATATTAGGTCCATGATGTAACCTCAGATTTTATGCAACTTCTACGCAGAAGTATAAATCAGTGTCGACTTTGACGTGTTAATAATTGCAGTGATTACAGAGATGACGGTGAATACAAAAGAAAAAAGAAGAAGAAAGAAAAAACAATTATGAACAGGAGCAGACTGGTTCCTGGTAAAGTATCCCCATCAGACTGTTTTAATGCGTTTTTTATATTAAGTCCAAATGCTGCAGGAGAGGTCTCAATGAAAAGAAAAAGAAAAAAGTAAAAGGCAGCCTAAAATGTAATATTACTGTCTTTCAGTATATTAAAAAGATGAGCAGCCTCTTCATGGCATTAACTGTAAAAGTAGGACCAACAAATACCGGAATTTGTGCATCTAGATGTTTACAAATCCAGGAATCGTCACCTTAACGTGGTAGCACGGTTTGCACGTCCCTGTGACCCTGGGACCTGTGTTGTCCAAGGCAAATAGCTTCTGGTAGGGTCTACCAAAGCAAAGTGGTCCCAGGGGAGGGGGCAGACTGAGAGTGATTCAAATAATCCTGATGAGACAGCATAAAAGGAACTCCAGTACCTCGCATGGTATGGGGAAACTAGGGCCCCCTTCTGGAGCTGGACCTGGAGGTGGGGTGTGTGTGGGTGTGGGGGTACTCATGAGCCCAAGGCCAAGTACTGCTGTGTTGGTGTTTTCCCCAGGGAACGAAAGAGTCTCTTTGATGCAACTGCAAGTCGCTGAGAGGAGGTCTCTGACTGGTGTTTGTGCTTATGCACCAAACAGCAGTTCAGTCTCTGGGGGGTGTCCTGGAAAGGGTACTAACTGGAGACTCTATAGTTCTGCTGGGAGACTTCAACGCTTACATAGGTGAAAATGTAGAAACCTGGAGGGAGGATGATTGGGACAAACGGCCTGCCTGATCTGAACCTGAAAAGTGTTTTGTTATTTGACTTCTGTGCTTGTCATGGATTGGCCATTGAGTGGTTCTTAAGTGTACCTAGTACCAGAACACCCAAGGCCAAGGATCGGTGATCAACTTTGTGGTCGTACTATCAAATCTACAACTGTATGTCTTAAACACTCAGGTAGAGAGAGAGGCAGAGCTGTCAACTGATCACCACCTGGTAGGGAGGTGGATCAGATGGTGGGAGAGGCTGCCAGACAGTCCTGGCAAACCCAAATGTGCGGTACGGGTAAACTGAGAATGTCTGGCTGACGCCCCTGTCCACAGGATCTTCAACTCCCACCTCTGGAAGAATTTCTCGTGCTTCCCAGGTGAGGTTGGGGACAAGGAATTCGAGTGAGCCATGTTCAAAACCTACATTGAAGAGATGGCTGCTGAAAGTTGTGCTCTGAAGGTTGTTGGTGCCTGTCGTGGCAGCAACCTAAGAATCCACTGGTGGAGATCAGTGGTTATGGAAGCTTTTTTGGGCTTCATTGGCCCAGGGCTCTCCTGAAGCAGCAGATGGGTATTGACTGGCCAATACCCATCTGCTGGTGGGAGAAGTTCAAGGAAGCTACAGAGAGGGACTTTCTGTTGGCCTCAAGGAAGTTCTGGCAAACAATTAGACGCCTTAAGAAAAGAAAGCAGGGCTAGCAGAGGAGGAGAACAACTGACCCGGATTGAGGATATTGTTGAGCGGTGGAAAGAACACTGTGAGTAACTCCCAAACTTGGCCATCATGTCCTTTGTGTAGGAGGCAGAGTCTGAAGACTCAGGGGAAGCATCATCCATATCCCTGGCAATGGTTGTTGCAGTAGTAAAAAAGCCAGGAAAGCTCTCATTTTACTTGTTCATTTACCAGTTCATCTATGCTCTAACTCTCACCTATAGTAATGAGCCTTGGGTAGTGACCAAAAGAATGATCGCGGATACAACTGGCAGAAATGTGTTTCCTCCATAGGGTGGCTGGGTGACAGACTGAGACATCCGGAGGAAGCTCGGAGTAGAGCCACTGCTCTTTCACATGTAAAGGGGCCAGTTGAGGTGGTTCAGGCATCTGATCAGGATGCCTCCTGAGCACCTCCTGTTTTCCAGGCACGTCCAACTGGTAGCAGGCTCTGCAGGAGACCCAAAACATTCTGGAGAGATTATATATCTCATCTGGCCTGGGAATGCCTCTGGATCCCCTAAGGGGAGCTGGAAAGCTTTGTTTAGGAGAGGGATGTCTGGATTAACTTGCTCAGCCTGCTGCCCCCGCGACCCAAGCCCCGCATAAGTAGATAAAAGTGGATGGGTGTTTAAAAATTGTAATGCTCCATTAAAAAATATTTCATTGCTGGAAAGATGGTCTTTTCATAAAACTAGGCTGTCTTTGCAGTAGAGAGCTGTAAATGGTTTTAAAATTTGTGCTAAATGACCAAAGAAAACAGAGGAAAAGACCTGCGGCATTTACTTTTGCTCAAGATGTAGAAAACCTACAACTACCAGAACGCAGTGTGCACACCAGACGATTAAATGCCCCAGCTGATGGGTGACGTAATGCGAGCTTGGCCATTGCGACATAGGAAACAATACGGCAGCCAGCTGGTAACAAACAATCTCGAATTACAGTTAAACAGAGAGCTAAATCATGTTTCTGAAAACCTTTTAGCCAAAAAATAGGGAACACAGTAACAGAATCTTGGTTCATGTTTGATCAGCGCTGCCTAGTTTTACTGATTGATTTCAGTTTTTTCAGCCTCCATATTTATAATACAGGTTCATGTCCTGTTAACACATTTTCATATTACAGCCAAACAGTGCACTAAAATATGTTTCTGAGGACATTTTAGGGAAGATATAGGCAATACAGTGACATAAATCTTGGTTTTTATTTGATCAGCACTGCCTAATTTTACTGTTTGATCTGAGTTTGAGACAGGGAGAGGCAAAGGGGTGGGTCTCTCGCTCAATCCCCTCCCAGACTCTAGGACATACGAAAATGCGGATGTACAATCTGTAGTTCGAGCTCAGATTTTTGCTGGGAGATGAGCAAAGAGATCTGGATGCTGGCAAGATGGAGTGAAGTTTACCACAATTCATTTACATATAATAGCCACACTGTTATGATACAAAGCTGGTTGAAAATCAGCAAAGTATCCCTTTAAATTATATTTTTACTCCTAAATCAAATGAGTTAAGACTATATGAAGCTTTCATGCATTTTACGATCTTTGTTTTGGTTACCTGCCAGGCAGGTGAAGGAATTATATTCACAGTGATGAATTATCTCTTCTTAAAGTGTTTTTAAACACTGAGATGAAAAGCATTTGTAATAACCAAGCTAAAACATGCACGAGCACTGATGTTCTCACCTGAAGATCTCATTTTTTGTGGTGATTTCTGTGTCCTGGCACTGCTTACAGCACAGTGATGTGCACTGCAGAGGAGAGACAATAAAGAGATAAAAGGACATATTAATTCTCAGTGCAAAGTGCTCTCACTGTTGAGGCCTTTATGAACATGAGCCACAAGCTGGGTGACACAGGTTCAGGTAGGCAGTGTGTGACCGAGACACTCTCTACATTCAGGAGGATTATTATCCTCAGTTAGACAGGAGGGAAAGAGCAGATAATAGGAGGGCACATTAAATAAGCACTTAACACATCTGGTAATAGCTGAACACTTTCTGGTGATGCAGCTGAGTGTGTGTGTGTGTGTGCTCACCCAGGAACATAATTCTGTCGTTATAACATATACATACAAAGCAGTGAGGTAAGCCAGGAGGACAGAGCCAAAACTGCTTTGCTTATATCAACATGTGGATGTTAGTGTAGGGGTGAAGCAGACAAGGTAACGTAGAGAGCAGCTTCAACACCCTCTTGTCTGTGTCCAACCTCCCCCTCAGATCAAATATACTCTTTCAGACAACTCATGAACATCATCACTGAACACAACAATAAGCCTAAATATATCTATTACAAACAAATTTCTGCTGTGTGAATAAAAGATGCAAGTAAATATTCACCAAACATGCCTCTTACGGATCAAATGTGATAAACAGCTAATGGCTACTGTGTATTTACTACAGATCTCCCAAAATCCACTCTTACCAGTAATAAAATCGAACTGTCCGTTGCTTACACTAAATTACACCAAACCAAAATATAAATGAAACACTTTTGTTTTTGCTTTTGCTGAATGATCCAAGACCTGTTTATGGACACAGACTACTTCTTTTTCTTTCTCAGATTCTGGTTACAAATTTGTTAAAATCAATGTTAATGAGCATTTTATAAACATAATCCAATCACCTGACAGATGTGGCATATCAAGATGCTGATTGAACAACATGATAACAACACAGGTGTGCCTTAGGATGGTCACAATAAAAGGCCACTCTATAAAGTGCCAAATTCACGGAAACAACATTGGAGACTTCTTGTCATAGTAAAATGAACATTCAATTTATGGACAACAGCTCTGGTGGACACACCTGCATACCAATGACACGCTCCCTCAAAACTTGTGACATCTGTGGCATCGTGTTGTGTGATCAAACTGCACCTTTTAGAGTGGACAGGAACGCTTGTGTAGTAATGATGCTGTAACGCCTGCTGGGTGCAATTAAGCCTTTTGTGCGCATAGAAAAAAAAAGTAGTAGTAAAACATGGGAGCATAAACGTAAGTGTTGCTTTCACATTTCTGTTCGAGTGTATTTCGTAAAAGTTTTGTTGTGCAGGCCAACTTTGGGCTGAAATATTGCAGAAACAACACATCTATCAGCCCCTACAGGAATGACTAAATATACCAGAGAACATCAGAGGAGAAACAGACAAAGACTGTGCAGTGTGACACAAGTAGAAACACCAGATCTGATGACGCCATGCGGGAGGTGACGGCTGCAGGGACAGAGGAGAAAGACTAAGGGGGTTGAGCAGGAATGAGGGGTTAGTGGTGACCTCAACTTACTCGGTCCATGATGTCCAACTCACAGCGAAGTCTCTGGATGGCACTGCCGATCTTCAGCAGCTGGAGCCGCAGAGCGTCGTCTATGGGCAGACAGGCCGCCACTCTGTAGGAGAAATCTGACAGAAACCAGACAGAAGGGAGAAGACAGGGATGAAAGGAAGGAAGGAAAGAAAGCACAAAGAACACAAACAAAGACGTACGTGTGCATGCGTGTATGCGTCTGCTATCCATCTGTAACACACTGAACAGAGGCTGACCTACGGCGTTCGTAGGGAGAGAGTCGTCCTTCAGATTCTCGTCCCATTCATGGAGCTGTTTCTTCACTCTGTTCATGAGCGACTCCTGTGAGGTGACACACATGAAGCAGTGGAAACGTGGTTTACATTCAGTCTTACATGATGTTTATCTATGGAGGAAATACCAAGCGGTGTACCCGGGATGCAGTACTCACAGAGTCGTAGAGAGCATACACCCAGGGCGGCCATGGTGTCAGACTGGCACAGTGAAACTTCCTCTGTGATGAACAACAGACGCACCATTAACTAATTATATCTTCCTACAGTGATTACTCAAGTGCTCACAGTTCTCTTCTCTTCCCACGTTACTATCAATAACACACACGTCATGGCCAAAAATATCTAGACACTGAAACAACATACTTACTGTTGAAATTTCCATGTAATTCAATATTAAATATCATTATATAATGTAGCATTAAGCTTCATAACTGATAACCTTGTCTGATATAATGATGAACTGAATATATTCAGGTTTTAGACTGTTGGTCTGACAAAAACAGACATGTGAGGAGGTCACCTTGGGCCCTGGGTAACTAGGATGGACACATTCTACTATTTTCAGATGTTTTATAGACCAAACAATTAATCATTTAATTGAGAAAATCAATAATGGAATCAGTGCTTATAGTTGCATTCTTGCTTCTTTTGCTGTCTAGCATCTAAGCCACCTCGAATTCCCATTTCCTTGTGATAGACAATAACTTCTGTCTGACTGTGATTCTAACTTATTCAAAGAGAAACTTCTGTATTTTTCAACAGGGTTGTCGAGCTAGTTTGTTGTCTCTGTCAAGTATCTGTCCTCTAGTCACTCACTCTACAGCAGGAAACAGCACTTCAAAATATACACTCTGTACTGGTAATTCACTGTACTTAAAAATAAAGTGTGGTTCTTTACAAACTTGACATATTTGTGAGTCACTTGCGGTCCATTCACAATGGACCTGTGAACCACTATTGGACTGTCGCCCACCAATTGGGAACCACTGCTTTAAAGGGTGCTTGTTTATGCCACTGAGAGACTCAGATTGTTATTACAAGTGTCTGACAACATGATGGAAAGGACCCTACAGAGAAACAAATCATTTATCTTCACTTTACGGATGATCCGGTCCATTATTGTCTTCCTGCAACAACTCAACTTAAAAGATTTGAGAACAAGACGTCTCCTTCAGTGAGACTTGATCAGACACAAAACAAACAGACTGGATCAGGAGAGAGAAAAAGAAAAACATTCAATTTCTTTGTCAGACACTAATAACAATCTGAGACTGTCGGTGGCAAAAAAAATGCTCTTTTAGTGGACGTAAATTGACAGCGAACAATTTCATTTCACAGGACCAATTTCAAAATTGTTGTCTCCATTTGTCACGTTCCCACAAAAACGTGGGAAACTAGGGTACAGGTTGAAAAATACCAAACCTTCCCCTTAAGTCCCCATAAAACAGAAGTTAGAACTCCCAGTGAAATAAAATAATTGAGTGGTGTACGATTAGAGGGATTTAAATCCTTCGCATTTGATTGGACTGCTAAAAAGTAGGTGGGCTGAAAGTTTAGCACGATATGTCGGTACAACAGAGTCCGCTGCTGGCTCCACATACACACCTCCCTCACTGTTAGATCGGGAGGATGAGGGAGAGATGAATCAATTACATTGTTTGGGAAATGAAAACAAAGGTTTTGCCTACTGATATCCAAACACACATCTCTTCCTTTTGCTCCTCATATCGCTCTGTTAGCTTTTACAACATACATATGGTGTGGGTTTATATGACCGATGCAGATAACTAGTTGCCCAAAGTCTCCTTTGACTGTATGAACTTTTGTAAACCCCTTGAGAGCAGGATGAGTCATCAAACATTTAAAACATTTAGCTGGTTTTACATAAATCAAATAGACAAGATTTTGATGTAAAAATACTCTGACACTGATTTTTTCTTACATATATTTGGTATGTAACAAAAGATAAATGATGAATCAACACATGGACACAAGATTAAAGCTGCGAAAATGTATCTTTCATTTCATGGAGACTTTAACAGCAAAGGCTGTCACATGTTACTGCTGCAGATGTGAACTACATGTGCTGTGAGCGCTCGTGTGTCTGACCTGTTGGTAGTTATTCCACCAGTGTTGGGCCTGTTTGCAGCTTTGAGTCGGGGGTTTGGAGGAGGGGTGCATGTGGAGTCTGGAGAGGGGTGTGAGCTGCACGGCAGAGAGGGGATCTGGAAGGATGCGTTCTGGAAGGATCTGTACTTTGGCTTGTCTGATCCTGAGGGGATAAACAAAGGGAGACAATAACACGGGTCGTGAAAAAAACAGAGAGGCAAGGCGGGAAATGTGGAGGAGAGCAAGAGAAGCTGAGTGAAACTAAGTGGATGAATAACAGACTAAACAAATGGTGTGCTGGCTAAATGCTATCAGGTGTGTGACAGGATGTTTGTTAATCTGAGAGGATAATAAAAAAAGGTGCAGTCTGTACATTTTCTCTGTCAGCAGTGAGAAATATTCCTCTAAGTCCTCACACAAGGTGCACTCAGTGAACTCCCTGGAGCTCAGACCAACAAACATTCACTAAGCAACACCACATGAGCAGTAAAGAGCACCTTCAGGTGTAACCATGAATCAGGACGCACACCGAAAATAGCATTCAGTTCAATCCTGCCAAAAGACGATATGCTATGTTTAATTTCTATCTATTTAATGCACAAACAGCAACAAAAATCCACAAAACAGCTGCCATAATATGATGGCAGTGACGCTGAATTTCCAAATGTTTGTTTCAGCAATCCAAAATCCAAAGGTTGAGCATTCAGAGGCGTTACAGAGAGAAAGAGAAGTGTATCGAAATACACAGAAAACGCTCTATCAGTATTCAGTGCACATCACCAAAGACGGCACGACGGCGGATCCCACTTAAGCGGGCGCTAACTTCAATTCTCTGCTCGCTGGCATCACTTGCAGTACAACAAAAGGTCAACAGGATTATGGCAACCAATTTATGTACATTACACAACGGCGACTACAGAATGGCGGAAATAAGTCTTTATGAAGACCCAGTCTTATGGACGGTTAAACTCAATGACTTCCTGAACAGTGGAGGATGTAAGGAGGCATGAGCTCGAGTAGGGCGACAGCAGTTACGGCACAAAGAATGGGCTTTGCATTTTCTTGTTATCTACACCAATTATAAAAATAAACTAGACCAGACGAGCCTTCGATGGAAAATGGATGTGACAAATGGTCTGAAATTATGGCCGGTTGTGTCAAATACATGGACGAAGCTGGGGGAGAGCTCACATTATATAAGATACTGCACAGATACTGTAACACAATATACAGGCTCCATATAATGACACTGGAAATGTAAATTGGAAATGTAAATAGGATATAGGAACACAGTATATGGGAAGGTAGTTAGGTCAGACCACTTTAGATCCAGCCGGGTATTAACAGTCTTAAATACCGGTAGTAGGTTTGGTTTAGAAATTCCTTAAAGTACAATGTTGTGTTTAGTGGGAGACCAGACCAAATACCAAACATATATAAGTGTGTGTTTTGAGTAATGTTAAGACCCTAGTCGGAAACAAGGCCCCAGAACTGAAAGAATAGGTGAGTGCAACAGTGGAAATAACATCTTTAGAATGTATGTGCTAAGATAAGATATACAGATATAAAATAAGTGTAGGAAGGTTGTCGCACTGGGACCAGTTCTGGGCTTATATTAAAATAGAAAATAGGTCAGATATCAGTCTCCTGTGTGACTATGTGACACTATGTATGACATGTTTTCCCTCTGTTGTTGTTTTATTTTTTTTATTTTTCTTCTGGATTTATTCATTTGTTATCTTTTTTTTACTGGATATATGAACTAAAGTCGGTCTCCATAATGTCAAAAATATGCCATGTGCTCTCATACAGTGGAATAACACATGTATGTTATGTACCAAGCTTTTCAAAAACTTATAATTAAAAATAAATAAATAAATAATCCAAACCCTCTCAAGAGTATGTAAAAGAAAAACTTTAACACAACCATGTACACATCATTTCACAACAAATACATCTTGAATACTTGAAAGTGTATATTTACTGTAGTAACTCCATGAATACAAACATCATAAGTTGACTATGATGCTCTCAGTTTACCTTTGAAGCCAACTATGAATAGTTAGTCTGCCCTCTAGCTGTGAACTACTGGAGCATCACTCGGCTGCAAGAAATGACTGGTCAAAAACTGATATCTGATGTGATGTCATTTTCAATATGCATCATGTATGATGTATATAAAACACTAACAATTCAAAGTTTGATTAAATGTTTTATATTGACTAAAAACATCTCAGGGAATTGAATATTTCCAGTAAGTCATGCTTATACTCAAAGTTAATGTGAATACAAATGAACACAGAGGCTGTTCAGCACACACTGCATGTAAGTGATCCACTGATCTGCAGTCCTCATCCAGAGTGCTGCTTGTTTTCTACCTTATCAGGTGGTTAAAACCAGATTATTACATTCATCTTACATTCCCATTTGAATCAGCCCCTGCCTAGATGATTACCATGAAACCCTGCAGGGCTCTGATTCCTGCACACAACCACGGGCTCACAATGTGAGGACAACAACACAACATTTATGTCTTTATTCATAGAGTCCAGTCCTCATTCAAATGTGCACATGCATTTATCGCTGACCTTTGGTTTAATGATTTATGATGCAGTTAAACTTACCCGTCTGCTTGGGTTCTTATCTCATGGACCTTGAATCTCTGCCTCCCCACAGCTTTCACTTTGACAGTTTCAATTCCATATTCCTGCTCTTCTCTGTATGCATAGATTTCAGCTGTTGTCCCAAACTCTGCCTCTGGGTCACCTGTATCACTGCAGAAACATGCCAGATAAAATCATTGCAATTAAAGTAATTCAAAAACGTATTTAAAGTTGTAATTCTGTAAGGCTGGGGGACTCACAAGAGACACAAAAGCAATGGTGCAAATTGAAGCAGCAGAGACATCCTGACTTTTAATCCCTTATTTGGGTCAAGCTCCAACAACACTGGCTCCTACATTTCCCATCATCATGCAACTTAATGGCATTTTTTAAAAGAGCCTCAAACCAAGTTTAATGGATGCCCAGATCTTTCAAACTCAATGCACCCTGTTTGTAACACAGGCTTTCTGTTTTATACTGTATGTTAAGTCTCCTAGCTCAAGCCACGATAACCCGTGTGATGTAATCTGGATTATTTTCTCAGACTTGTGTCACTGTTGAGGATTTAAGGTTCTAACTGGAGCCACAAACCACCAGGACACAACTGCTGCAACTGTTTTTATAGGCTGACTCGAACTCATCATGGCTAGTAAAGCCTTTAACTCCTATACCAAACAAAGAAATGCTCTCTCTGTCCAGTCTGTGATGATTGCCAGTGGCTACAGAGCCTTTTGCTTTGCTGCTGACCTGTGAGCGAGCACAGCAAAGGTGCGGTCCCTCTGGATAACACTCCGCATCATGCTGACCTCCTGTGGCCTGAAGAGCTGCAGAGGCAGCGTCTGACCTGGCACCAGCATCACAGCTGTGTGTGGCAGCACAGGGATGGTCTGACAGCTGTCGTCATCGTGGACTGTGCGGCCGTGAAACTCTTCCATGTCTGCTCCCAGGTACTGCCAACAGAGGGGTCAGAGTCAACACAACACAGCAGCTGCAGAACACTAACTCTGCAGCAGCTCTCTGATGGAGTGACAAACACTAAGGAGGTAGGATTACATATGTGTGGTAGTAAACACGTAGAGAAGGAAAGCATCACTCACAGCATGTGATGTGGGCAGGCTGGGGTCAAAGGTGATGATGGTGGGCTTCTCTGCCTCCTCATTGTCTCGGTCCTCTGTCTCCATGTCATCTTCCTCCTCCTCTTCCTCATTGTCTGTCATGGCACAGCAGAGACAGAAGCTCACAGTGAGGCCAGTTAGCTCTTTAAGTGTCTTTTAACCAACCTACAGGTGCAGCTTTATCATTTTAATGAGTCACCGTGATGGCAGAAATGAAATGAAAGTGAGAGCAGCTCTAATGTGTCAGTCAGGGTGTGATGTCTGACAGTGGCCTGTTGTGGAGAAATGTTAGCTAGCAGTTAGCTGTTAGCAGGGCGAAGAGATAAACGCAGTTCCGGTGAAACACCGAGCGGACCGACCGGCAGCTCGGTGAGTTTGACTGTTACCTGGTAAAAGCTGTAACTGGTTCCCCATGTTGTCGTTAATGTTGTCTTCACCTCCTCCCCTCTCGTCAGCCATATCCTTGTGTTTACAATACTAACTCTTCTTCTACGGCGTCTTCAGTGTGCAGCCTCCAGGAGGACCCCGAGCGCCCCCTGGCGATGTGTCACGATTTAACCTGGGTTAAATTATGCAGATTAAAATAATCCATTGACATTATGTCTCTGGCTCTCATTTTTTTCTGTCATGCTCTCATTTGAAAGCCGCAATTAAAAAAAAATTCAACAGTTATATATAAAACATATTCATAATACCATCTCAACCTTCAGTCTGGTCATCAGTGCTCCTTTTATGACAAAATAACCACTCTCACGGAGACACCTGAAAGATTTTAAAGACTAAATCCACAAAAATGGAAAGTCATCAAATATATTTACACAAGCACTGTGCTTTAAGTACAATTTTTAGATAGCTGTACTTCGCTTGAGTATTTCCATTTATGTTTCTTCTCCTTCTGTGTCACCACATGGCATAGGAACATATTTTAGGGTACTTTTTACTCCACTACATTTATCTGAGAGCTACTAGTTAGAGCTACTTACTCTGCAGATTAAAGAGTTAATTCTGCCTATATAATTGGTACCTTTTCTTTTTCCTACTTATGTCAATTTGCTGATAAAAGGAACATTTTTAATGCAGGACCTCAGAAAACACTGGCAAGATATTGTGTCTTTTTTATATCCTTTGTCCACTTTGCATCTTTGTTTACTCAAATTAAGTTCACGCAGTAGTTTGAGCCACACTAAGACGAATTTAATTGGATCCCATCTCTGCTCATCACACGCAGAGAGGTTGAGTTTATTTGTAAAACATTACCACAACAAAACTAGCCATGATGTTTCAGGTTTGGCATGACAAATCCAAACTATGGAAATAATTGAATAATTAAAAAAGAACCAGGTCAAGCTAAATTGGAAAGCAAGTGAACTGAAGTTGACAAAAGATCAGCAAATTAATTGCTGTGCTCTTCTGCTTCACTTGAGCAGCAATCTACAGTTACAACCAAAGTTATCAGAAACATCCAGAAGGACCCCGTTTCATTTTGAATAAGTAATTTTGCCTCTGGTGGACAGTGATGTCAAATACTGAGATTCCCCCAATCCCAAATGGATCCCTTACAGACTCGTTGACTCAAGCCCTAAACCCTTACAGACCTAGGAACAATTCCATTTCTTCCCCTTAGCCCTTGTCTTGGCCCTTCCCCTTGGTTTTGCGCATAATCTATATGGCATCTATTTGGGATGGGGGGACTGTGTAATTTTAGATGTCAGCTGCAGTGTGGTGTTATCAGCATTTAGGAGTTCAAATACCTTCATGCCCATGTATAGATATGCTTGTACATGTGCATGATAATGGGAAAATCATGGGAAAATCAATCACCTATAACACCAACAGCTTAATTTGTTTGTCCTAAGTGCACAAACATGTTGCCAATGTAACCCTGTGCTGTCCAGTAATTATGTGGTACTGGTCTGATACCTGAGGACTAACTTCTTCAGTTAGGCAAGTTATGTACCGACTTTCCAGATTTTGACACTAATTTTAGAAGACCAGAGGTGACTGGATTATATTAAACCCAAATCACTTGCAGTCAGCAGCCATCTGTGGTCCAAATACAACCTTTGACAAGTAAATTTCCACATTCTCCATTTTAAGTTTGTCACACATTTCAAGTTACTATACACCCAAGTTACATGACTGACAAAACCAGAGCTGTGATACACGGGACTGACACATGCCATGATGTTCAATTAATGTTTAAGTAAATGTAAATACAGAACAATTTAATCCCATTATGGTGAAATTAATAAAGAAGCTGAAGCTTGTGGTAAATTTTAACAGTGTTCATTTATTGTTCAATACACAACCACATCACAGTTGTTGCTGAACAAAATGTATTATGGTCCATGAACAAGACAGCTGTAGTTCTGATGTTCAGAGATGGTCCAGCATCTTTGCCTCTTCCCGTCAGACGTTCACAGCAGGCTCCATGAGACGCGCAGTCATCTGAAGTCAGGGCTTTAGGCCTTCGTTCCAGTGATGGAGGCTCCACTTCAGCCACATGCGTCAGTCATCTGGAGAGGCTCCGACAGGATCACAGCTGGTGGGGATGAGGGCTTACTTTGACCTCTGCCTCATCTTTCTCCTTTTACGCTTCAGCCTGTGATTAAAAAAAAACAAAACAAAAAAAAAAAAACAACAGCTGTCAGGAAAATGTTCAGGAGTTTTCTGCTCAATAGCCCTTCAGCAGTGCAGAAATCTGGACTGACCACAACCCTGACAAGTCGTCCACATTTTTACTGGCCAAAAACAAAGGATTTAATGGCCCATTCAGTAACAATTTAACCTGGGACACGAGATAATGAGTTTAAAAAAAAAAAAAAAAAGGAATTTATCAGTATCTGCAGTTACAGCACTGCGTAGGATCCTTCAATTTGCCTTTTTAAATGCATTAGACCTTTTACCATCCCATGTTTCACCTTTAAAGGCAACATCAGAATTTGGAGTCATATTACAGGTTCTGTATTTAAAGGGAGTTAAACTGCAAAGACACTTCCTAAGCTTTAAGGCAGACTCAATACTGATGAATGGTTGCATTTCAAAACTGCGGAGGAAACATGCTCAATATAATTTAATGAATTTCAGCCATTTTAAAATCATGGGTTGCATCCTGGAGCCATTATTCCAAAGATTTTAAGTTGTAAGTGATGTTCACATGGACAAATATTTAGAACATGAATCTATGGACATGTCTAGAGCAATGTGCACATTTGTGACAGGCTCCAGTCCTGCCTTTACTGCTGGGCACACTTGAGGAGTTGACTATGGATGAGTCTTTAAAAATGGACATAAGCAGGTATTCAATTCCAAAGTGGAAAAGACAAGTTCACACTAGACAGCAGACACAAATACTGGGTATAACCATCATTTGATCAAGTGCTAGTGTTGAACTGGATTGGGATTTAAAATTTGAGTGCACTGTCATTAAATACATGATAGATTACATGATAGATTACAAATAATCTCAGGTAGCTTTGTCACTACTGAAGTGGTAAAATAGTTTTCTTATTATGCACACTCAGTTTTTCAACATGTATCAAAATCCTCAAACGACTGGCAATTAGGAATCTGCGTAAAGGAAAGAGATCAATAAGGCTTACCTGCGCATACGCTTCTTCCTCCACTGGAAAACAAGAGGGATATTTATTAGTGTACAGTAAATTCAGGTCAGTGGCCATGTGGGCCATCCCTCTTACTATGTGACAGCATGCTTGTTGTGAAGCAAAGAAACTACACCACACTACACTGGTACTGAAGACAGTAAACAGTAACGTCTGTCTCCCACCAGAACTAGACATTTAACCAATACACACAAATACCAAGAGGTTCACCATTGCTAACATTAAGAGTATGAACCAGAGCGGGCCTTTCTGCAACAGCAACACTTGCATTACATTCCCACTGTACGGTATAAAATGTCTGAGTTACTAGCACAGTAGGAGTTACTGGAGAATAAATACATTGAGAACCGCTTTCAGCAGCACAGACATTTAGCAATGTTAACATTTGAGCATGCAGCAAAGCGGCCCTCCTGCAACTTAACATTTACACTATTTCCTCTTGCACTGTCTTCAAGCGAGAGGTTTAGTTTACATTATCATCATAGTTCTAGTGTGTGGAAAACAAACACATAGCTACAGAATCGTTTTCGGCCAACAAACAGGATAAAGCAGCGCTGCGGTTGCTATCCAGATGCTAGCTAGCAGCATTGACTGAACAGAAAGAGAATATAAAACATTAAATTACTGACACAGGCTGGTCAACTCACCTTGGCTCTCATCGTGTGGAGAGATTCTGTGAAAACAATACAAATGAAATTATTAGTAACAGCGGATGATTTGTAAAACTTGAAGATTTATTTGGATTCAGTTAGCAGCGAAACAAATTCACATACCTCTGAGCGAGGAGAGCAACGGAAAGAGGATGTGACGAAGGAAGAGGGAGGAACTTATACAGGCGTTTACGTCACGTTCGAGCGCCAAGTTTTTTTACTTTGCTCACTGGGAAATGTAGTCTTAATGGTCAGGACTGCGTTTTTCAGGCATAAAAGTTATCAAAGTGAGATATGGCGCTTTAAAACTTTCTTAAATGATTTATATTGAGAATGTACAAAACATATTTGGCATTCATTAGGTTCAGGATGGTGTGAAGAAACTGCTAAAGCGAAAAGTAGAGCAGAAAATAAATGTTATTATCATTATTATTATTATATATCTATTATTACAAGATTGAAAATGATTTCAAAGGGAGTGCCTTAACTGCAAGTTGAAATTAATAAAGGGAGGCAAAAAAGTACAAAAATGAATAAATTAAAAAAAGTAGTAACCATAAAATAAAATTAATTATTTACAAGGGCAAATTTATTTTTTCTTAGTTATCTGACATGATAGGAAAATGTTTTTTTTAGGATCACATAATTGTGCTTTTCTTCCTTTAATCAGTTTTAAAGACTTTATGTACAGTATAAATTAATTCAAGAAAAAATAAAAGTTGGGGGAGGATTTCAGGATTTTGATCTTATGTATAAAAAAATTGCCAAACATATGATTATATTACAACAGAGTTTGTCATTTTTGTTTTTCAAGATCGTGCCAAATATTGTCTCTAGATTTCGAAGCTGGAAATGATGAGATATTTAGGTTCATGCATTTGTGAATGTCAAGCCAAAATGTATGTATTACACTCCTTGGGAAAAATATATGGACTGTGAATTCAATATCACTTTCATAAAATCAATATTAAATTGTAGTTTTAGTAATTCTTTAGAAGGATGACTGCATAAATTCATCATTTTGAAATGTGTTTCATTTGTTTGGGAGGTAAAGGTAAAGTCAGATACATAGATCTTAGTTTATTAATTTCATTTTTATCAAATTTGTGCAAGACGTAATTTTTCTTTTGTCTTCCAGAGAATCATTTTCAGCAAGACAGTTTCTTATTAAGTATTTATGGCATTTCTCGTCCAAAATAAGAATCCC